AAGCTCAATATGCCCACATGGCAGTGCAGAGACTGTGGGGTATAGTGAGAACAGCAATGGAATCTGCTGCAAGCAATGAGCTGCTGCATATGTATGAGTGTTGCTGTATGAGAGACTGAGGCTTGGTGGGTGTGCACAGAACTTACGTGTGTGTGTGTGTGTGTGTTATAAACATCCTAAATAAACAATTTAACAACTTGAAAATTCCATTTATTAACCTTTTTACGCATAATAAAATTCGAAACCTTTCCAACACACATGCACATGCCTCTCGCACACACACACACACACACACATATATATATATATATTTATATATAAAATAAAAGAAGTATTGCACAACGTAGTGAAGAGAAAAATAATAATATGGCACAAAACAGAAGAGCAACATGCCAGAGCAACAACAACAGCAGCAGCAACAACAATGGCAATACCAACAACAACAACAACAACAATAACAACAGCAACAGCAGCAACAACAATTTGCTGGAGTGGATTAATAACAAAGTCAACAAGGATAACACGCCTTAATTATGTATGTACAGGCGTTAGTGCGCACTGTGGGCGGGGCACGCGAGGCACGCAGGGCACTTGGGGCAGGTGGCCATCTGGTGGGCCTGCTGGGCCGACGGGCTGATGGGCGGATTCGTGAAAAGCGGGCGGCAGCTGGGGGTTGAGAGCGGGTTAATGCGACGAACAGGAAGAGGGCGGTTCAGGTGTTTGCGGCTGAATGACGTAAATTGTAGTCAAACAGCAACGGAGACGGCAACAAACAGACAAACAAACACACAAATGAAACAAAACGAAACCAAACCAAACCAAACGAAACCAAACGAAACGAAACGAAACAGTCAACCAGCCAAGCAGCCAAGCAGCCAACTAACAAATGCGGGTCCTGCTCCGCACGCTGAGATCTCTGAGAGATGGCATCCGTTGCCGTCTTTGCCACATTGATGAGCAGAGCAGCGGGCTGCTTAGTGCGACATACACACATGCATGTGTGCCTGTGTGTGTGTGTGTGTGTGTGTGTGTGTAAAAGCAAATACTTGTTAACGAATGCGGGTACAAGCGCTGAGCCACACTGCGCGCATTTTCATAAATGAATTTCATTTGTGATTTCGCCAGCCAAAGCACTGTCAATATGTTGACACCAGCCTGAACTGTACACGCTCTTCCCTCATTGTCTTCCTGCTCTTGTTCTTCTTTGTTTTTACTTTTTTAATTGCCAGCGAATTAGGCGCTTGCTTCACTTTTTAGACTCGCTTAGCATAAATTTAATTATGATTAAAAACGAACGTTTTTCGCCTCTTTTGCGATTCACCTCAGCTCAATTCTTAGCACGTAATTGTTTGACTTCTGCACATTCTATATTCTATTGTTATACGTATAAGAAGCAAGTGCCACAACAACTAAACAAAACATAAAATTCTCAACTAGTTCTGCCTCAGCTTACCATTATCATTAGCCAAGTTTGTTGATGATAGGTGGAGTTTTTTTAGAGCTACACAAGTTTAATTTCTAATTAAATAATAAAATATATTTTGAAATTCAATTAAACAGATTTTGCTAGTAAGAATATTGTATGACATTAATGTTTAAATATGATTTTGTTTATTTTAATATTGTAAAGTTACAATTATTATAATCATGCCCAACATCGTTTTTGAAGTCAGCCGGCCAAAGCGCCCCAAGCATGAGTGTAAGACTGTTTTGACATAAGCTTATGAGCTAGTCGCTCTTTAAATGCGATAATTCTGCTTATTTATGCGCATAATATAATGCATAATAAGCTCGACGAAGAGAACTATAATTTTGCATTGCTCTGAGTTAAATCTATCTATTTGCAAAATGTCAAGGCAACTATCAACTGTTAAATTAGCTATTAGAAAAAGAAGTGTTGTCAACTTAAGGTTGTAGCCCTCTAAAAAAAACAGACAATACAATTGACATTGACTACAACTGCTTAATGACACGAGCTTAACTTAATGTCTGGTTAAAGTTGCTTGCATGAGCTCGTGTTGGCCTGCTAGCTTAGCAGGAGCTAAACATTCCTTGGAATATTTTTGTTATTATTCTGAGTAAATTGATTATAAATTATGGAGCCTTTCATTAGGAAGCTAAGGCAAGTCAGAAGGATTTTCATCTCCGATAACCAAATGTCATTAATTTAACTCAGAATTAACAATTAACATGGATGTTATTTATACAAGCAAGTAATTGCGTATATCTAATGACGTATACGTAATATGCAGCGCAATCTTATTGTGCATAGATAACAATATTACGTATACGTGGGCTAAGCTTTGGCCAATAGAGCTACAACAGCCACTGCAACGAGATAACAGCTCGTGTGCAAGGCTTGGAATGTATTTTGCAATCAATAAACTAATTAGTTTAGAGCAAATGCTTAGGCAATGGAGGAAATGCCACATGATTTATAAGGCGCATGGAAATATGTGAAATTTTGGCAGCTTTGAAATTAAATTGAAATAATTTGCTGCCATTGAAGAGTGTGAGTCAAGTGCGGTGAATGCAAGAGAGGGAGAGAGAGAGAGAGACAGAGAAAGAGACGAAAACACTTGGGCTTGGGTTAAGATGTAGAATAAGTATTTAATTACAGCAGACAAAGCTGCGCTCAGCCAAATGGCAGCTGAATGAGGCTGGAAAAAAACACATACACATATATATATATTTTAATATATGTATGTATATATGTGTATGTAAGTACGCATGCAAATAAATATATGCAGCTTGCACAGAATTGAAATTAAAGTTTCAGCTTATGAAGCCACACGCGGATTTCGTATTCCCAGTGCAGCAATTAAAATTCTTAATCGCCTCCATTAGCCCCAGACAGGCTAAAAAATTAGACAGGCAGACAGATAGGCAGACAGACAGGCAGACGGACAAGCAAGCAGCCAGATAGACAAACAGACAGACAGACAGACAGATAGTCATATCTGAATGCATATTTTGCTCTTCAATTGGGGCAATTTGCAGTCGGCTGCTGCTGCTGCTGCTGCTGCTGGAGCAACAATTAGAGAACATTAAAATTGCATCATGCGAAATTGAAGCGTTAATGAAAATGTGTTGACATGAATTTTCATGTTCACCTGCCTCATTCCCTGCCTCACCCTCCGCCCGGCGCCCCCCCACTCTCCAGTATAGATATATATATAGCATAATTTATATCTTTGCCATATCAAGTCGGCATAAATGTAATTAAAAAGCATTCAACGCATGAAATTACGATGAAACATGAAACATTTTCGTATTCATTTTATTCCTAATTAGAAGGGAAAACACAGCCAACATGAAGAGGGAAGAGGAAACATCTAAGAATTATTCCTATTGCCTACTTTTTGGGGCCAGCTCAATTTCTGCTACTGTCAGACGCACATAAAGCTGGTATCAAATATTCAATGCATAAACTGCTTAACACAATTCAATTTTGCCTTATCTAATTGTATCAAATTTAATACTCATTAGCAGCACACCTAAGAACACTGAGAGCCTTCTACAACATATCAAAGTAGCCTCGCTGCATTGCTATTAAAATTATAATTCTATCATACACTGTGTTCTATAAATAGTCACATTTATATATATAGTAACCTTAAGTTACTCATGTTACATGCATGAGCTTCAGTTATCCATCAGTGGCCGAATCAATGCGATTCTGACTCTGCTGCATGGGTAAACATGGCTATGAATGCTTTACTGCAGCTAAAGATTAAGCATATCAGTTAATGTATACAAATATATATATATTTAATACACACGTATAATGAATAAATATATATATATTGATGGAAGTGCAAGGCAAACACCTCTGCTTAGATTTACCTTGTTTCCTTACTTCAAAACCTTTTGAACTCTAACTAAACTTGTTCTTCTCTTAAACCAGAAGCTTTCATAATTTATTTAAAAAATATTTTAAATTTGTGAACTGAATTTGTATATTGTTTAACTTTAATTTTATAATAATTTAGTATAATACAATTTAAATTTACAAATTTAGAAGAAATATAATTTTAATTGTAAGTTTTCTTTTTATTTTATTATAATTGAAGCATAAAATAAAAATAAAAAGGTTTTTATTTAGTCATTCATTAATTTGATTATTTTAGACACGTTAAATATTAATACAAAAAATATATATAAAAAAAAAACAAAGTCATAAATTATATAAATAAAAGCATTTATTCTTAAAGTATTTTCTAAATTATAATAAGTACAAGAATTAAAATCACATTAAACTTAATTATTAATTTGTAAATGAACTTTAAGGTTTAATATTAATTTATTGTTTAATATAAATTTAAATATATACTTATTTATTTTTTTATTTTAGTATTAAAATTTATATTTAAAGTCTTGGCTTTAATTATAATATAATTGCGCTTAAGAACTTTTCTTTTCTTTAAAAAATTTTAGTTTGTTTATTTTTATTTTATTTAAGCATTAATATTTTAAATTAATATTATTTAAATTTAAGTTACTTATTGTTGTTTAATTATAATAAAAATAAAATTAAACACATTTGCTAATTAATTTTATTGAATTTTGTTTAATGTGAGTCTTAATATTATTTAATATTATCATTTATGGGTATTTCTTCAATTATAATAAATTTAGAATTTAAAACATTTCTGAATTTGTCATTTGCAATTTAAATTTGAATATTTATAAATCTTTTCTTAGACCTCTCTTTGTATGAAAATGAAATAAGTAAACAATTCACTCAGTTCACAGATTAATAAACCAGATTTTTCTCTTCAATTTGCCAGGCAAAAGGAATAAGTCGAGTGAAGTCGAGCTGGGAACTGGCAATGCTTGACTAGAATCTTGGGAGCTTGTGAATTCTTCTGTTTGTCTTGGCTTGCAAATAGCAAATTGTAAATGTTCCATCAATTTAGTTGTGTTGTGTTGTGTTGTTTGGCAGTCGGAGCTGCCGTGAGCCAGACCGGAGTGCGGAGTCTTAGGATTACAATACTCACCCGATGGGCCGAGAGTTCGCTGCGTTCTTTCGCTGTAATTTGTATTTTATTCTATTTATTTTGGATTTTTATTTTTGGTTTGGCACTGGGCGAAAAGTTTCTTGGGCCAAAAGGAAATTAGGCAAAATACTGCTGCTGCTGCTGCTGCTGCTGCTGCTGGTGATGTTCGGGTTCGAGTTTGCCGTATTAAATACTTTCGAAAGTCATTAGGCTGACCGGGCGGGGCTTCAATTAATGCGATCTATGGCGAGTGGCTTTGAAGTGCCTGTCAAAGTGCTGACAGTTGGAAAAAGAATAATCGAAAATTAATGCAATCATAAAGGCAGCCCGAGGTCCGCGGTGCGGGGTCCGAGGTCCGAGGAATGCGGCTAAATCTTGGCAAATTAGTTCCAAGTTCTCAGCCCTGCCCGGAGACTGCGAACGGGAGAGAGGCGGAGAGAGGCGGAGAGAGGGAGAGCGTGGGCGAGGGCGAGTGAGGGAAATTTGATTTGTTTGCCTGCTCCGCCGACTTCGACAACAATTCACAAAAGCACCGTTACAAAAAAAAATAACAAACAAACAACCATTTGGCAAGAATGCACAGCAAAAAAATGTAGATTTGGCTCTGATCTTTTGTGGGCCGCAAAATTTATGTTTACGCGTCGCTGCGCCTAAGGACCTCGCGCCTCCGATTCCGGCCGTGTGTAACAAACAACGGCTATGGCAGCGGCAACGGCAACAGCAACGGCGACGGCGACGGCAATCGCACGTGGCACGAACTACGCTGACTGAACTAACTTCAACGGGCTGCGCTACAGTGAAAGACTCTGCTGAAGATTATTGATGCGACTCGTCCGACCGCTTCATGCGAGACCACGACCTCGACTGAACGGCGTGAACGGCGTGAACGGCGTCGAGCCAAACGAACGAACGAACGCCAGTCGCAACGTGGCGACTACGTCAACAACAACAGCAACGGCAACACGACCACGGACAATCAACTAGCTGGCTGGCTGCACTGCTTCGACTGAAGCGCAATTTTCAACTGAACTCAGTGATGGCAGCCACGTGCAACGGTTCCTAGCTGCTGCTGCGGCGGCTGCTGCGGCGGCTGCTGCGGCTGCTGCGCTGCTCCAGGCAATTGCCGCACAGCTTCCTTCATGCACGAACCCTAACAGCGGCACACTTCGGCAGCTGTTAAGAGCTCTGCTAGCTAACAGCAGCCGGACTGTTACGAAATATAAACAAATAAACGCAAGATATACGTCGTTGCCTCTGTTGTTGCTGTTGCTGTTGCTGTCGCTGCCGCTGCCGCTGCCTCTGCTCGCGTCGCTGTCTCTGTTGCTTGTGCTGCTATCGCTCCATCGCCTTTTCTCGCCTTTCCTTCGGCGTTTGTTTCATTTCATGCTGCGGCTGCCACGTGCAGCTCCAGCGGCCCAACAATTAGTAGGGGTATTCCAATTCCCTATTCCTTTAATTCTTCTTCTTCGTCTTCTTCACTTCTTCTTCACTTTTTAATTTGATGCAAAGTTTGTAAAATTAAAGCTCTAGCCTCGCGCCTCTGCAGCCTCTACAGCTAATCTAGTAAATCTTCTAAATATAGGAATAGGCTTCAGTGCTCATCCATCAGCTGTTACTTTTGGGGAAGCACACGATCTCGAAATACCCTTACTTTTTAGCCCTTATGTGTTTTATTATCTAAATCTAAACTCATTTTTCATTGTTTTCTTTTTAACACTTAATGTATTTATATATTAAATCTAAAAAAAAAAATGGAATATATAAAAAAAAATTATTTTATTGAAAAAAATATTACAAAGATTTAAGAACTGAAAAGAACAAAATTTTAGAAATTGACTTCACTTACGATTTCGAAACATTCTCCAACACTGCAGATATACTCGTTGGGCTTATTATTTATGTGAGCATTTTCCAACACTGATGCTTACTAATTCTTAATTATATTTTTGTAAGCCCTTCGCCACACTGCAAGCTGCTTATCGCTTTATATAGAATATAGATTTCTGAAGTGCTTTCCATCATATATAATTATTTTTGAGCCCTTCCAACACTTACTTATAGACGCTATTGCATTGACTTTAAATAGAAATGAAAATTGTACTTTGCATAGAGTTTAAGTTCAGTTTTAATGCCTAGGCATTTCGCGTTTCGCAACACTGGAATCGCAGTTAAAAATTGTTTGCTGGAAAAAAGTTTCTTTGGCTATAATTAAATGCTTAAAAGTTGGCAGCTTTTAATTGAACATCTCGCGCAATCTTAGAGCCTGAAACAGGTTTCGACTGGACGGATGGATGGATGGGCGGATAGGCGGATGGGTAGATGGCGGGTGGGCGGAGGTGCAGGGGTCCAAAGCAAGGCTGAAAGGTTTGTAATCGATGGCTTCGCAGCGCGAACGTGCGCGACGTCCATTTCACTTGCGAATACCCTGTCGCATGACAGTGGCTGAGCGGAAAGCTAGATTGGGCCATGTGGCTCCACATACGTGTCGCGTCGAAGACACTTCCGTGTCATCAGACAAACTATAGCATACTTATGGGCCCACAGATCTCTCGCTTTGCGCAGCGCATCTTGTAGTCGAGTGCTGCCAACATCCGAGCATTACTTTTCGCCTTTCCCTTTTTTTAATTAAGTTAATGAGCAATTAAGCGATATTTAGAAAAGCGGGAAGCCAAAGCTAGCCCATTGACAATGGCCACAGCGCGCGGCTGCTCGACAAGCTGAGAGGCTGGCCGGCCAGTTGGACTTGCAGTGCGACTGAGAGGGAAGCGGCGGAGAGAAAAAGAGAGAGACAGAGCAAGCGAAAGCAAGCAAAATGCAAAGGGGGCCATAAGAACAACAACCAAGCTTACGATACTGAATAAATACATATATGAAATTTAATAAAAAGTTGAAGAAATATATAAAAATATTGTTTTTAATATCTCATTAATTAAAAAAAATAAATATTTAAAAAACAAAAAAACATCGTCAGCCGGGTTGGTGTCTGTGCTTAAACATTCTGTTAGCGTGTTAACATTTTCAGTTGCAGCACTTTCTTACATTTCGTTAGCTTTCGGTGTTCGTTAAGTGTGGAACTCGTTGCCTGCTTAGCTCATATCACAACCATTCCGCTTTATAGCAATACTGCTATAAAGCTAATTGTCCCAAAAAGCTCTAACAAAGTAGGCATAAGTATGGGTGCAAGTATTAGCTTAAACTAACTTTCAAGCAATGCCAAAAGGCATAACAAAAGCTTTACGTGTGCTCTGGTTTATTGACCCCATTGGCAAAAGCTTCTGTTGCGTTTTTTTTTGCTTGCCTTTAACCCCAACTCATTTCCAATAGATGGAATCAAAGTTGTTCCAGTTCGCACAACACAAGCATATATACATACAAACATGTACTTAACCTAGAAATAGGTTTGTGATCGACTAGAACATACTCCGTATTAGAAATGGTTTTCTAAAGTTTACTTAGAACTTTTTTCATATTCAATTAAACAATTTTCTGGCCGTTATTATATTTATAGATCTATTATTAATATATGGATAAATATATTTTATGGCTTATATGTTATTATGTATTCGACCTTATACTTTGATACCATATTATATATGGTATTTACGCTAAAGAGGGGCATGTCAGATTCGTTATAATTTATTTCAAAAAAGGCGAATTGAAGGCGAATTGAAGTTGGACTGAAGGCGAATTGAAGGCGAATTAAAGGTGAATTGAAGGCCAATTGCAGGTGGATAGATGGCGAATTGAAGGTGTATTGAAGGCGAATGTACTGAGGCATAATAACTTTAGCACAGAAAATCTTAACACTTCAAAGGTAGAAACTTCAAAAATATACTGTAATAATTTTTAGATGTAAATTATAAAAGTCTTAAATATAATAATAAAAAAAGGAAAGGGATTACACCTAAAGTAAAGTAAAGCGAGACAAGAAAGAAAGAATAAGTAACGACTACGAGATACCCTGAGCCTTGCGCATAGCTGCTATTACAATCATTCAGCGCAGTCATAACACATACAGAGCAAGCAACACACATACATACCACACACACATACCACACACACATTAGCAGTTTGAGAAGTCATTAAAATTATGGGAGTGATTTCTGGCCACTGTCAGTGTATGCCCAGGAGCTGATCTGACAGCAACGAGTTGCTTGAGGACCCAGAGGAGAGAGTAATCCGTTCTGCACGGCGACAGGGCTTGTGCAAGACAAGCTCAAGCTGAGAAGCCGGAAGCATGGCAGATAAAGAAGCTATGGCAAGTGCTAAAGACCACACAGCCAACATAGGTATATGTACATGAAATATGCAAATATATATATATATATATATATATAGTTATATGTAACTCTATATGCATAAAATAATTTGAATACTTTATTAACGAATCGAATATTCATGCACGAATTTTTGATTGATTGCACACAAGCAGAAAACAAAACAGAAATTTATAAATGTGTGCGTGTGTGTGTGTGTGTAAGCAGATGTTTGGCAACATTTAAATAAATAGTTAAGCTACGCATATTAATATTAATACCTATCAAATGAATAATTAATTACATTAATTACTTGAGCGCATAATTAACACATTTACAGCGCGCGTCGCGGGGGCCTTCAGCATCGATTCATATTTTTTTGATGTGTTTTACACTCGCATTCAGTTAAGTTAACAAAAAACACGCACATAAATGCATAAGTTAAACTCTGGAACACCGTCGACTGCGCATGCATTGTGAAATTGTTATATTAAATAAATATTCAATTTGATGACAGCGAGAAAGTTGCAGAGTAGAGAGGAGAAAACTCCAATTATTTATTACCTGAATTAGTAACAACAACCAGCCAGAGCAACAACAACAAATACAACACTCGAAAACAGTCAACAACAAATGCTTATGAATTGCATTTTGTTAATTAGGCAAATGCACAAATCTCTGAATACATAAATAATGTCAAATCTATCTCGAAAATAAAATAAAAAATAAAATACAAAAAAAAAGAACATGTGTTAACTTTGGTATTTCGTTTGAGTTTCATTTGCATTTTGTATTACTTTTTATTTTATTTGCCATTTCATTTTTTATTATTCGCATTTATTTCTTTCACTTTGGCCCTTTGTTGTTCGATGCGCTTTGCGTTGCCTTCGACTGGCCAACGGAAATTTGCATAATTAAATTATTTAATGTGGTTTGCCAATTTAGCCCATCAAAGATTCAAGCTGCGAAGTTGCCAGAAACCTTCGCGAGACACCTGCCCGACTAGCACATACCCTGTACCTACCAAAAGTACGTCATGGCATGCAAAATACCATAAAAAACTCAGCAAACTATATACGAAATGCATATGCATATACTATGACTGTCAGCTCGTGGCGTTGATCGACTCAGACATACCCTATAGCGCACATAAAAGCTTGATTGAAAAATAACAAACAAAACATAGTTCAACCAAGTGTCTTATATTCAAGTACATAGTTTATGACAATAAATCCTAGAGGTTGATCGACTCAAACATACCCTATAATCAACATAAAAGAACTACAAGCAACTCTCTAGGGCTAGGCGGCAGCTAGTTACATTTGATTCTCAAGCTGAGCCACTGCATGCTTACGATTTGTATCAGCATCATCAGCTCCATGGCAAAGTCGACTGACTGAGCATAGCTAAGCAGCAGTTGAGTCAGAGCTAAGCTGTTTTCCGTCACATAATCCTGAGGGCTCTAAGACTGCAGAGCCGCAAGAGTCAAGTGAATCCAGGCATATTTCGATACTGAAGAATTGAAACAATATCACGTATACGCAGTGCATGGAAACCTAATATCAAGTATACGCACAGCTAAGCACATCAGCTCTTACAGATTTCAGCACAGGGTATACACTAGTCGCAAGCGCCCGCTGCCACACTGCTTCTATCTCCGATCTCATTTAGCTGTAAGTTGTGCGAAAATAAAACTGGTTCAGCAAAGCTCAAAACATCAAGAAATTTGCACAGCTTTCGGCAGCCGCAGAGCAGATCAACTCCGATCGGCAGACCGCAGAGTGTCAGCTAATGGGCATTGGACATGGCTGAATGCCGACGACCCCCGGCAATATACACACAATACAATGGCGCTTGGACCTGCTGCTGCTGCAAGCGGTTTCAGGCGAGGCGTGATTAATTGCGCTGCTGATTGAAGCCACATTTGAAGCCATGGGACAGCAGCGACAACCTTACGATACATCGAACGTCTCCAGGGGCAGCTCAGTCAGTCGCACTGGACTTTCGAGTATGCAAATTGCATATTTTCCACTGTGCAGCAGCCTCGCATTTGTTTTATTGTTAACTTTGTCACTTGGAGTATGTAAAAGTTGATGGAAACTGTGGGTTAGAGACATTTATTGGCCAGCTATTTGAGTATTTGCCACTCTGTTGCCCCTCGCTCGACTGGGCTCAAATTCCATTTTTATTTTCTTTCACGTTTGATTGTTTCACTTCTCACGGCCAGCCTTTGACCTGTTCCTGAATTTCTTTTCTTTTGCACACAAAATGCCATTTTTATATCGAGCTCCACTCATTCAGAATGTCGCAATGAAAAGCTAAAACAACTGTTTAGTCATGTGAAAGTATGTCAAAAAGCAGAAGAAGAAGAGCAGAGGGAAGAAGCAGAAGGGGAAAACATATAAATAAATATGTAGAAATTCTTTCGCTTGCAAACTGAACCAATTTGAATATTCAAGTCGACAATGCTTGCCCAGCAGTTACAGGGTAGCTCAGCTCAGCCAAGAAATTTTTATTTATTAAATTCAATTTTTATATATTCAATTAGTATTCAAATATTTATTTATTAAAGAAAAAGGAGAAATAAAATATTTAAAAAAATATTTTCTTAATTATTTATATATAAATATAATTATTACTCAATTAAAGAATATTTTCTAATAAAATTGCAATATTCATAGATTGTTTGATATTTGATATTTGACATCAACTTCTTCAATTCAATGCTGGCTCATGTTGCATGTTCCATAAACTCACATGTGAAATTGTGTTTTACACTGTCCTTAAGTAGACCGACATGTATCAGTTGACAATATCTAATTGACAGTAACACTGATTCAATAGACACTCAGAAAGAGGCCAGCAAGTTGCCTGACTTTTGCAGGCTTCGCTAGCAATAACTGATTCATCATGATGGGCTTCCCACTGTTGCTGAGCTGAGAACCAACACAGTTGAAAAGGGAGTCAAAAAGGAGTCAAAATGAGAGTCGAAGTGAGTCACAGTGCACTAAAATGACTCAATAGAAGTCTAAGTAAATGAATCAAAGGCAGTCAATATAGATTCATAGTGAGCTAATGGGAGTCAGATAGAGCAAAGGTGAGTCACAATGTGTCAAAGTCAATCAAAAGGGAGTCAAAGGTACTCACAGTGAGTCAAAGCGAATTAAAGTGTGCTAAAAATCAATGAAGAGGAGTCAAAGTGAGGCAAAGTAGAACAAAATAATTCTAAAATTAGTCAGAGACAAAATTGAATCATAGTGATTCAAAGCGAATCAGAATGAATGAGTCAAAAGTGAATTCAACTGAGTCAAAGCGAGGCAAATGTGAGTCAAAGTGAGTCACAGTCAGTCAAAAATGAATCAAAATGTGTTTAAGGGAGTCAAAAGTGCATTTGCATTGAAAGGAATTAGAATGAGTTAAAGCTAGTCACACTGAATCACAGTCAATCAAAGTGAGTCAAAACGAAGTCAATGGAGTAAAAGGGAAACCAACTGTGTGTGCGAGTAGTTTTTATATGCACACACAGTTATTGTGGCTATGCAAAAAAGGGGTGTGTGTGTGTGTGTGTTTTTATTGTAGACTAATAAAAATAATAACACTCAGTTGATATCCTTAACACACATAAGACGTGTTGAAACCGGCGCTTGGCCTGAAAGGTAGGTGTGTCTCTGATCGAGCCATCGCCGGCGAACAAACAGAGGCACTGACAGAGCAACACTCCATGTGGGTGTGCGTGTGTGCGTGTGTGTAAATGCATGTGTCTGCCTGTGCTCGCATATGCAGCTTATAAATGTTACAAATTTCGTTTAGCAAATAGCCAAGATTATAATATTCGGCTGTTGGCCATTAAAAGACACATTAATAATTTATGGGCTTGTCTATTTTGGGTCGTGAACTTGTTTCTGGGTTCAATGCAGCGCAGCTGATTGTTGTTGTTGTTGTTGTTGTTGTTGTTGTTGATGCTATCATTTCTCTTTGGATAGCAATTAACTTTTTCGTTCGCCAGCTTTGTTTGCTTAGCTCTGGATGGACGTATAAATAGCAGCCAACGAGCAGAGCATCAATATTAGTAACTGATTAAGCTTCCAGGCTTAACTTCGTCTAACAAGAGCTAAAGCTGAACCTAAGCAGAACCGACAACAAAATGAAGGTAAGACTCGCAGCTCCAAAGCCCAAGCATTTCGCCTTCAATTTCCCAATCCATTTGTGCCCAGGTGTTCGTTTGCCTGTTTCTGTGTGTGAGCCTAACCCAAGCCGGCTTCATCGGCGGTGGCTACTCCGGCGGCGGTGGCGGCGGTGGCGGCGGTGGCGGCGGTGGCTACTTCGGCGGCGGCGGCTACTCCGTCGGCGGTGGTGGCTTCTCTGGTGGTGCACCCACCATTGTTAAGGTCATCCACGAGGAAGAACATGGACATGGCGGTGGCTTCGATCACGGCCATGGCGGCGAGGTCAAAATTGTCAAGGTGATCCATGAGGAGGCACATGGCCATGTCCATGGTGGCTTCGATCATGGACATGTCCATGGTGGCTTCGATCATGGTGCCGGCGGCGAAGTCAAGGTCATCAAGGTCATTCAGGAAGGCGGCTTCAGTCACGGCATCGATCACGGTCACGGTCACGGTCACAGTCACGGCGGCGATGTGAACATCGTGAAGGTGATCCACGAAGGTGGCGGCGCCATTGAGCACGGCCATGGCGGACACTATGTAGCCGACCATGGACACCACGTCCAGGATGTGAAAGTTGTGACCGTGCTGGGCGAAGGCGGCTATGGCGGCGGCGAGGTTGGTGGTGCTGGCTGGTCTGCTGGCGGTGCCAATGGCTGGGACTAAGCGCAATAAGCCACAGCTACCCACTCATAGTCCCATTCCCACACACACACACACACACTCACACACACACACATACGCGCAGCCATGTGATCTGCCAGGCACTCGACTCGCTTGTTTCTGTTGTCCGAGTTGAGCAACGGCATTAGCCTTGTAGATGTTGTTACTATATCTTTAAGCTGGCACACATATCGTGTGCCGCCTGTTGTTTTTGTAGACAATATATTTTTTTTTCGTGTTAAATAGTTTATAAAATGTACAAAGCATCTTCAACTGTGTTGAACACAAAAAATACAAAGAAAAAAACACTTCAAATCATTATTCTTCGTGCGGCTGCCAGCGGGAGTCCCCGCGCCACATACGAACACATAGCAAAGAGCCGTGCCATGAGGTCGCGTACCCAATTTTCGCTGGCAATTAGGCACGGTAATGCTCCGATCTACCATTAGCTACGGCAATTGGCCGAACGTTAAGTCGATCATTAGCTGCACAGGTTGCACGGATCAACCCAGACCAAGATGTGCCCCCAGACACAACTTAATAGAAAATTGCAGAAAATTGAAAAAGGAAAAAAACCAAAACAAAACGAAGCAAAAGCAAAAACAAAAACAAAAGATCAAAAGATATTTTAACACCTTGAACAAAGCATTTCCCATCTCTATATGCATATATATATATCTCGCTTTGGGTATCAAATATTACACATGCATAACTAATAGGCCAACAAGCTGGTTTCTGGGTCGGAAGCTCTGACTTAAATAAGACCCATTAATATTTTTGCCATGAGGTGAAAGGCGTCTTCGCACAATCCGCAAATGGAGCGGCTTAATTTATGTATAGTCATAGCGATCATAGACCCAGAGACTGAGAGTGAGAGTGGGAGAGAGAGAGAGCGAGAGTAGATACCTTTATGGACATTAAGTAACTTTAATAAGCTTTGCGTTTCTTTTCGCACAGCCATAAGATTTTATATGAGCCACTCTACATTTCAGGCCACTGCTGATTACAGCTATATCAATCTATTCAGTGGGAAACTATGTGGCAGGCAGAGTGCGCGACTTGAAACTACCCTAGATAATCGTGGCTGCATTATATTGGTACAATAAATTAATATGAAATACGAATTGAAGTTGGCCAGAAGCAGCGGAGACTGAGAGTCTAAAGCGAGAGAGGGGGAGAAGGAGCGGAAAGAGTGCAAGCAAAAGCGAAAGTTGCCAAAGCAAAAGTCAACAAAAACTGAGCTCTAACTGTGCATATGAGAATCACATAGAGATGCAATATATTTCCCACTTAGATAAGCTGGCAAAACTGGCTGATACTTCTAGCTCAAGTTAACTCGATCAACATTAATGCATGAGAATCACATAGAAGGGCAATACACTAAATACAAACTAAAAACTGCTGCTTCCCGCTCAGCACTGCTGTAATAGGCCATGTTTTATATTTAAATTGAATATATGAATAAATGAGAATTACATAGAAAGGCCATACGCTTAAGGCATAAGTTAGCATAAACAACAAACTGCTGCTGCTAGTAGAACTCGCATATACTACGAAATCAGACACATATACTATTGCACACATGAGTCTATGAGTCACATGCTTAACGAACAGAAAAGCGAATGCTACGAGCTCAACTATGCGCGACTAAATGCCAACACTTGCACTTTTGAGAATCACATAGAAAGGCACACGACTCTGCTCGACACTCAGCTAAAAATACTTTCATCATTCGCATTTATCCACTTTCAGCTCACTCGAATAGGTATCGAAAATACACTCATTAATCAAAAACATTTGTCACTCTGCTTCCATCTTGGCACTGCGATGATGATATGCCAGAAAGTCAAGTTGACAGACGCCACGAGAGGATTACTTCGGCACGCTACATTTAGATAACATTTAGTCATAATGATGTCAAGTTGGATCAGTTGCTGGTGAGGGGATGCCCCCAGGCAGCCAGAGAGCGGCTCTACCTGAGGTCGTTAATTGAGCAATGGCTAAGGACCGTCGCAATTATACCATTGTCCAGTAGCTACGAGCGTCGACTGATATTTATAGCGTATCGATATCGATGGCTATGGTCGGCCCTGACAACGCTGTGCAGTGCTTCTTGGAGGGCTATTAAAAATCTTGTAACTGTTAACCAATACGCATGGGCATCGATAAACATTTGAAAACCAATGATAATAACATAATATATGAACGTATCGGATCTCTGAGTTGCATAATCCAACGTTAATTATAGCGAATGAAGAAATTATAATGAAGCCTTGTGCTTATGTACTTATGTATGAAAACGGGCAAAATGATGTAAATTGGAAACCTGTTTAGCGGCTTAGGCTGACCAGCTTGGGCTCATGGGCAGATGTCCGTACCGGCAGACGAACCCTCATCAAGCACTGAAGGCAGCAGCAGCCCTGAATTGGAGTTAAGTTAATACTAACTCGTAAATTCAACAAATTTCCAACGGCCAAAAAGTTTTGAAAACTTGGAAATGGTGAAGCTTCATGGGTTTTAATTTATTTCATTTACAGCTCAACATAATTGCTAGACCCGCCAGTTGGATGTCGTGACTGCGTGGGATTTGTGAACTTCCGCGAGCTCCGAAACAATGTTCAAGCAATTAACGTGGCTCGCAACACAGTTAAATTATATTTGCCATCTATCAAGTGTCGATCCGAAGGCTTAACAAATTAATAAGCCCCCTCGGCGCACTGCCTGCAAGATGACGAACCTCGAATATGCTCACATTAAATGTATAAAAAACCTGAGAGAAATAAACTTCAGTATATAGACTATGTGAACAAAATGATTGATAAAGTCAAATTATATATAATAGCACAAGATCTGCGGCTGGCGACTGGTCAGCCATGGCATGGACTGCATCGTGGGCACTTTGCTCAGGACAGAGACTACCTAAGAAGCTGGCCTAATCATAGACCATGAGTCATGAACTGTGTATAAATATTTTAATTATATATATATATATATACATGTATATATCTGCCTACTATGACTGACTATATACGGATAATAGATACATACAACTCTCCTTGGCAGTAGTCCCCATCATGCATACATCACTCTCTAGCTACAAGAAGTCCATTGATAATGATTTTTGCTTTGTAAGTTATTGAAAATGCTTGCCATAGGCAGAAGAAGGCGTGGCAGTTCACATAAGGCATACATATGCATAATCAGAATGCAGAATTCATTGAATAAAGCCAAGTTCATCTCACACTCTGAGGCTGCATATAAAAGCAGCAAAAGCAGGCAGATTGAAATGTTGAATATATTTATGTATTTATAAAAATATATAATATAATATGCATTACATTTATACATATATCATATATTTATCGAGGAAATACGCAACTCGAGCTTATCAGTTTCGTTCGATAACTCATTCGATTTGCTTGTTATCGATCATCTGACAGCGCTTTCTAGCTTGACTAACGTAAGAGCCATTGCAAGTCTGCTGTGTGGGCGGACTGCTCTAATAAATACAGAGACTTTAAAGACTTGGGCTCTGGCAAACGCACACATCTCATGTCATTGGCTCGGACTGATTTGATTAAGAAAGTCTGTCGAGAAGAAAACTTATTAAACAATTCAATTTTAATTAGGATTTTCTATACCATGGGAAAGCCCATAAGCGCGCTTGTGTGTGTGTATCTAGGTGTGTGTGTGTGTGTGTGTGTATGTATATGTGTGTATGTTCCGCTTGTTCTATTAAATCTAGAGAGAATCATCCAACGACTCGCAGAGCAGCGCTGCACTGGGTCAGGGTATCCGCTAGTCGGGCAGACTTTCGCCTAGAGCACTCTTACCTGTTTATCTTTGAAATTGACTTATAATAAGCAAAAAAAATGGCAAATGTTGCTCCAGACGCTTCATTAACATGTTACAATGCCCATTTTGTTGGCTCATCTCATGAAGGCGGCGTTTGATTCGAAGTGGGGTTCGGTCTTTCATGTTTGGAGTGCTAAAATGCGCCACTTATTCGCTGCTGTTTTGTTATGTTTGGTTAATGCTCTTTGTGCAAGCGTTTTGATGAATTGCATAACGAGCTAATAAAGAGAGCCAGCCGGACAGCTGAGCAGCGAAGGCGTTGTAGAGAGATTGCTTTGTAGTATTTGGTGCTTGATGGTTGTTTGATGGCATAATCCGAGCAGAGCAGAGCAGAGCAGAGCATCGCGTGGACAACCAATTAGAGTGTCATGCATTAGCATAGAGTTGGTTACCTGGCTGGCCAGCTGGGCTAGCTGGGCTAGCTGGGCTAGCTTGGGGCAGGGTCGAGCTGGTTTCGTGGCTTTGGGCTGTTGGGCTCACGACATTTGGCCATAAAAGCCAAAGCCAGTGCACTGCAACGGCACAGTTGAAGTTCAGCTCTCGTCGAAGTCGCATTTGCAATCCCAACTCCTAGCTCCAAGCAAGACACAGAGCCAACATGAAGGTGCGTCTCGACTCGTAACGGCTCAGCTCGAAATATCGTCGCCGGGATTAACGAAATTCTCGAGCTGAACTTTTTTTTTTTTAATTTTTTCAAATATTTTTGTTTTGTGCTGTGCAGTGAAAATGATTTGATTTGATTTGATTTGATTTGATTTATTGTGCCTGTTTCTCTTCCAAGGTATTCGTTTGTCTGCTCGCTGTGTGCAGCATGGCCCATGCGGGCTTCCTTGGCGGCGGCAGTGCCCTTAGCTCCGGTGGCGGTGGCGGCGGCGGCGGCTACGGCGGTGGCTACGGCGGTGGCCATGGCGGTGGCTATGGCGGTGGCGGTCATGGCGGTGGCTATGGCGGCGGCTATGGCGGTGGTCATGGAGGCGGCGGCGGCGGCGGTGTTAAAATCATCAAGGTCATCTCTGATGGTGGTGCCGGCGGCGGTGGCGGCTATGGCGGCGGCTATGGTGGCGGCTATGGCGGCGGCTACGGTGGCGGCCATGGCGGTGGCTTTGGAGGCGGCTATGGCGGCGGTGCCAGCACTGTTAAGATTGTCAAGGTCATCTCCGAAGGCGGTGCCGGCGGCGGTGGCGGCTATGGCGGCGGCTACGGCGGCGGCTATGGCGGCGGCCATGGTGGCGGCTTTGGAGGCGGCTATGGCGGTGGCTATGGAGGCGGTCATGGTGCCAGCTCCGGAACTGTTCAAATCGTCAAGGTCATCTCCGATGCAGGCGGCATCAGCGGCGGCGGCGGCGGCGGTGGTGGCTGGGCACCTCAAGGTGGCTGGGCCTCCAGTGGCTGGTAAACAACGATCCACAATCCGCGTACTCGAGATACCTTCGTGCCTGGGCCTCTGTGACACGTGTGCTGTATTCATTTGGGAGCGTGTGCAGCAGCCCTTTCACACCTTTGTTTTGCATTAATTTTGTTGACCACTCGAATTGTAAATACTCATTACATTAAAGCAAATAATACAACCGAAAACAGAAGAGAAAAACCAAAAATGTTTGCTTAATTCGCGCCATTAATTATGCGCGCCAGGCCAGGTCGAGGCGCGACCAGAAAGTCATTTCCGCCGGCGACAATCTCAGCGGAACTTGTTAACACTGCACAGCATGACTCGTGCCTTGATGCTACGCTGAGTTATATTGTGGAATAACACATGTGTCCATGTCACTGAAGTCGCTGTTGCTCACAGTCCAGCTTAGAGAGAGAGAGAGAGAGAGAGAGAGAGGGGGGTAGGGAGGGAGGCAGACATTGATAGAAAGAGAGTCTGTGCGAGAGATAGAGATACAGAGAAGTACAGGGTATGCATGTAGTGTAAATACCCCATTTGGCTCAGCTCAGTAAAGTGCTTGGCTTTGACTTGGATATCCTAAGGCAGCAGCTCGTAGCTGCCTGATTGCACTTGGTAGAAGTATCTCCTGCATTTGTCCACTTCATTGAATGCACACTGTGAGGCAACAAAGCAGAATAGATACAAACTACATACGCTTTGTGTGGCAACTATTGCCTAAGAATTGTAAAGATGAAAATGAAATTTTCGCATAGCTCAAGGTAATAGAGGGTCGACGGCAACAGCTGCACACGAAAGGAAAAACGAACTGGCGCTGTCTGACCTATCTGGCTAATGAAAATGAAATCTGTGGAAAATTTCAGACGAAGAGATGGCCATCTTCAATAAGATGAACAAATATGTACCGTGGCCAAGGGCAGACAACGTTTGCAGCTGCAGCATTTCAATTAACGCCCCCACCGCCCGCTCCAGCCACGCACTGCACCTGTGCAGCCTGTCGCCTCTGTCGACGCGCCGTCACAGCTTTGCTGAGCGCTGTGTCAATGGTGAAGCGCAAGAGCTTCAGCACACAAAGCTGCACCGAGGTCTGATTGGCCCAGTGAGCAGAGTTAAGTTCAGCACAGAATGGGTATCGAGTCGGAAGTTCGGCTCGTCTGGACGCGTGAGTGCTGTTTTGGCACACGTCAAAGTCAGAGAGTCAAAAAGCAGGAGTGCAGCTGTTCCCGTTACAGTTAAAGCTATTCAATTAAACTTTTCAAACGCACCTCAAGCTCAGCTGCGGCCATCACAAGAATCAAGAATTGCAATCTCCATGAACGACTTCCTTATGAGCACTTCAAGTGCAAGAGCAGATAAAAAGCGAGCTCCGCTGAGGCCAGCGGCAGCAGCAAAGATGAACACAAATAACCAGATAAAACGAATGAGCGACAAAGAGAGAGCGAGGAATGAGAGCCAGCTTAATGGAGTGTTCTAAATAAATTTGTTTAGCTGGCCAGCACAGCTGAAACATCAAAGCATGATAGCCACTAGGGATTGCTGCAGTTCATGAGATGCGCATAGAGGGGCACTGCTTCAGAGTGCATCTTTCGCATCTTACTTATTGGCGGCAGTGCAGGAAAAGAATTCAATTTCATCTACACACATAAGTGCCTAGGTGCAGCTATGTATGTATGCATATTCGTACATACGCACAAGAATCGATGTACATGCATACAGCTGTGTTCTGCAGAATAATAGTGCCGTACGACACAAGACCCCATCAATGGGTACTTTTTCAGTGCAAGAATGTTGGCTGTTCATTAAAATAGTAGTGCCTTTTCCTTACTACTATTTTCATGAAGAACTAAGCTCTGTTGATTTATCTTACTCAAGTGCATATATAGGGGCATATGTTCATCTGAATATTCGTTTCAAATTGCATGCAAATATTGTGTTCATCACCAACAATTTTATTGCTCTCGCACTATTATATTTATGAACAAGGCTAGATAGTTACATACGCAGGAAGTACACAAGCTGCTCTAGGAGAGTTTACATCAGCAACAGTTGCCTCAAGTCAAATGAAGCGATTTCTTATATGAGTCCATCCAGAGCTCAGTTGAGCTCAGCTCAGACATGGCAAAGTGTGACTGAGGCAAGATGAGACAGTTGAATGGCAAGTCATTGAGTCATAAGACTGCAATCTTTAGATACCTGTCATTTAGTCAGACTGCGACCTAAATTAAATGAAAACTATGCTGAGTAGCAAGGGACGAGCGAGGGGTGCGAGGGGTGCAAGGCGCGCGCAACAGCTGGTGGCAAATTTATTACGTATACGTTGAAGAGCAGCTAGGGTAAGTAGAACAGGCAGCAGTGCAGCGAGCTGTTGTTACTGCCTTTCTTTAATAACTCAGCTGTGATTTGTATAGCGGCGCGAACAACAGATGTGCCAATGACACGATGTGAAGCCATTGTCCAAGCCACTGCCGTTGCCTATAAATAGTTGCGTCGCAGCTGTGGGCTGCGCATGGCGCTGCGACTCCATTCGATTGCCGATGACGCGTGGGCGCAGTTTCGTGGCCTTGCTGCAGTTGCTCTTGCTGGGCGTCCGATTGGGTAGCGCTCAGAACTATTGTAATCCCGCACTTTGTCCGGCCGGACTGCGCCATGTCGTCTGCGGCAATAGCGGTGTAAGTAGATGAAAAGCCTGCAAAATGCCAAATGGAAAACGGGAAATGAAATAAGAAAATTAATTATTTGCGCTTGTTAGCAATTTGCGAGCGGCTGTCGGGGCGAGTTCGTCCCACTCGATGCGCACATTCCGCTCATCCTGAAGGAGCACAACGATCGACGCAATCTGTTGGCAGGCGGCGGACTGAGCGGCTTCCCCAGCGCCCTCCACATGGCGACCATGTCGTGGGACTCGACGCTCGCCCAGGTGGCCGCCTACAACACGCTGCAATGCCGCATGGCCCACGACGAGTGCCGCAACACGAACACCTATCGCTACTCCGGCCAGAATCTGAGCATTCTCTTCACGCTCAACATTGATACGGCCACGTTTCTGCGTCAGCGCATCGCTGCTTGGTTCGAGGAATATCATGATGCCACCAGCGCCGATGTGGAAGTCTATGTGCCGCGTGGCGGACCGTGCGTATGCCTATTGAATGTCGTAGCTTAGCTTGATTGGTTAACTCTGATTCCATGTGTGTGTCATCCGCAGTGCCATCGGCCACTTCACGACCATGGTGAATGAGCGCAACAATCGTGTTGGCTGTGCCGTTGCCCGCTTTACGGACGCAAATGGCTTGGGCAACACGCTCCTCGCCTGCAACTATGCGGTAACAAATGTGCAGAACAATCCGATCTATCGGGCCGGACCACCAGCCTCTGAGTGCATCAAAGGACGCAATCCCAGCTACACCAATCTCTGTGCGGAAAGTGAGGAATATAGCTACAATACGTGGGCCAGTCGATAAGGATATCATTTCATTTTCAATTCAACTCAATTTCTCCTCCACTAACAATATTTACCTACTTTTCTAAGCCCAACTGTCCCAAGTAGGGGAAAGCCATTAGTGTAAAGGAAATTCCAAACTTTATTTACTGGGATTATTATTATCCATTAATTTCCCTTTTTCAAACTTGGGAGCTGTGAGGACACGCTAAGTCACAATGGCGAAGTATTTTGCATTTACTGGCTTAGCGGGAAATTTAAATCTTTTTTAACTTTAAGCCCAAGCTTGCAGTGCGAGCTATACAAATTTCCGATGGCATATGCAATATCGTAAAAGCGCAACGTTCTCAATTGTCTGTTGATTTTCCCTTTAAACAAAACTTGTACTATAAACATAAGTGTCAGCTCCAGTTGGTTTATGACTTGGCTAAAAAGTACCACAATTTCCTATGGCATATGCAATACCGTAAAAGCGCATCGTTCCAAACTATCCGTTGATTTGCCCTTTAGAAAAAACTTGCATTATATGCTAAAGTTGGTTTATGACTTGGTTTAAAAAGTACCAAAATTTCCTATGGCCTATGCAATATCGTAAAAGCACATCGTTCCCAATTATCCGTTGATTTTCCCTTTAGAAAAAACTTGCACATGCTAAAGTTGGTTTATGACTTGGTTTAAAAATAAAAAAGTTTGTTTTATATATAATATCGTAAAAGCACATCGTTCTCAACTATCCATTTTTTTCTTCATAAAGACTTGTTCTATTAACAAAAGCGTCAGATCCAGTTGGCTTATGACTTGGAAATTTACCATTGTTCAGTGGCGTTTTTTGATAACGTAAGCATGTACTCGCAAAACGTACCAATATTATCCGTTGGCAAGCTCAATGAGTTAATATATACATTTGTGTCTTAGTTTGAAAATAAAAGAATGCTTTATAGTACATTTATATCGTAAATGTGTGTCCTCGGTAAGCATGCACCTTTATTATCCGTATTAACGGATACCTTGTGACATTTACTTTGACTGAACAACATAATTTTTCATTGGGAAATTTACAAATGCCGCTCGGCGTATATATCGTTAAGTGTAGTATCAGAATTTTATATAAAAATAATAAAACCTGATATGTATAATAATGAAACGTGTTTTGAATTCAGAAGCAGCAACTTATTTGGGTTTTGTTTTCGGCTAAAGATGGGTTTGTGTCCACACTTGAAGGCCCAGTGTGCATCACATTTTGTAATATCGTAAATTCGTTGCTGCGTTGTTGTAAACCTAAAAGCTAATGTCCGGACTTTGACCCTTTTGATTCGACAATGCGAATTATGATGGGTATATCTTCAATTTTGGTGGTATTTGAGGTCGAGTGGGTGAACTGCTCGACACAATCGCTCTTGAATTGGGCCCATTTGCGTGTCTTGATGAAGTCGTCGAAGAGCTTCAACCTCGAGGGTATCCAGCGATCCAGATAGAAGCGCATGCGCTGCCAAATGTGTCCCGGATTCTGCTCCTCCTCCATGAGCCAATAGCGTGGAATGAGCAGACACTGGACTGTCGTTCGGGCCATGACCACGCGATGATCGCACTTCTCGCCCACGCCGAAAAGTCCGCCGAACGTCATCGAACCAACGTCCACGAAGTGTGTGGCATAGTTATCTTCAGTCTGTTGGGGCAGGCAAGGGTCAGACGTGAAGGACATGTCTAAGCTTATGTAATATTTACTTTTGGTTTCCTCGATTTTTCCGATGCGCTCGAGCTGTGGGCTGGTGAACATGCTGAGACTATCTCGGAGTCCTCGTGCTCCGCTTCCAAGCTGATCATCTTGCTAGATTTGCTAGATTTGCTAGCCTTGCTAATTCGACTCACGTGACTCGATTGACGAATGCCCAACGGCAGACTGGCCTCCCGTCGAAACGATGGGCCCACGGTGCCATAGTTAAGCTCACTTTCCGACGAATAGAAATCTTCGTAGTCCTCGCCAGGGGTATCATCATACACATTGACCCATTTCTCCTCCACCAGCGATCTGTGATGATGCAATTGACGATGGGTAAGTCGCGTCGACGAGTCCTCGACTGGGGCCGTCTTCTGATTCAACAGCTTGCAATACGCCTCGATCTTGGCAAACTCCGCCTTTCGCTTCTGCAGGCGAGAGGCCAAGGGAAGATTAGCTTATGTCACCAAATGCCCTTACGAGCTCAGCAGCTAGCCCTACCGCTTTCTTCTTGTTGTGACCGGCTTCGTCCAGCGAAGAGCTCGAGCGCAGCAGCTCCCTCACATCTAATGGCTCTGCCTTATCGTCATCTACCTCGTTGTCCGAGTCTTCCTCTACCACGGGAGACAGCTCATAGTGCGCCTCCCCCTTTTCCGTAGTCACCTAAATGCAAACAGTCACAGAGGGAGCGGAAGAGAGTGACATACCCCTGATACGTACCAACATATGCAGGCATTGCAATAGAACGCACTCCCCGCTCAGCACAAAGTACACGTGTTGTATGTTGTCCGAGCTCTCCGGATAAATTGTGCTCAGTGGATCATATTGTTTTAGCAAGCCAAATTTACAGGCGCTCACAATCTAGAGGCGTAAGTGGGGAAGCGGATAGAAATCGAAATGAATAGAAAGCAGATTGGGGTACAGCTGGGGGCTAAGCTGAGGGTTCGGCTTGAAATTCAGATCATTCAAATTGAGGTTCCGATGGAGGCGCAGTTAAGAACTCAGCTTAGGTTTCGGCTGTACGCTCAACTAGCGATTGGGATTCAGATTGGTATCTGCCTGATTCTGATGATCTTATAGTTCTAAAGGCTATATCAGTTTTTGGGCTCGTTCATAAAGGGAAATGAGTATATTGGCTGGATGCAATGTCCACAGGAGTGCAAACCTTTTCGTCACTAATAAAGCTAGACTCTTGAGATGTTTCTATGATAACCTTAAGATTATTCCGCTGGCTCTAGTCTTACTGATTTAACAGAAACGTTAGCTCAGAACCAAGAGACTTGAAATTTGTAAGGTTTACACTGAGAGACCTTTAAACAATCTATGTCCATTGCGGGAAGATGGATCTTTAAATACAGCTGGCTTTGAGCCGGCAACGCTCTTGCTTGTTGGCCTCTACCTATGAATTATAGGGTAAATGCTTGTATAGCCTTTAGGACTTACCTGCGAGTCGTTCATGAATTTCAGATAGCTAAGCGAGGCAATCGCTTTCTTCTTCTCAATCCAAACTTTTTTTACATATGGCTTGAGCAAAGCCTTAAAATCAAAATCGTCTAATACCAGAATTTCACAGTTAGCTGAAGGGGAAAACATGCTGGCATTAACAATTTTCCATTTTGGGCTTAGGTATTTGTTCATGATTTACTTGTAGCCTTATATGTATTCATTCTCAAATCCTCCTCCAGCAGCTCAATTTCTCCGATCCAATCGCCGGGTCCAAAAAATGCCTCAGGCTTGGACTCCAGCTTACGTGTTAACTGCCAATGAAAAAGAATTATATATATCGGTTTATACATATATATACATAAATATTACCTTATTCAATACTAGCTTAGACATCTCGACTTCGCCGCTAACAACAAAATAAACACAGGTGGGCACATCGCCCTCCTTCATTAAGGTGCGACCCGAACTAACGACCATAAAGTGAAGATAAGGCACCAAACGAGCTCGGATTTTCTTCAGGTATTTCATCAGTATTTATATATCAGTTATGTATTTATATATATATATAAATATGTGTGTGTGTAAACTTGGATATCTTACCGGTGGCACCTGTGTAAAACAGCCTAAGCCAGCGACAATAGTACAAAGTTTCTTTCTTTCTGCTATGGAGCGAGTGCTATGCAAAGTGGCCAAGAGACCTTTTTGCTGCAATATAAAAGGAGTACAGGATAGAAGAATATATAGAGTATATATAGTAGTTAGAGTATATAGAGTATATAGAGTATATAGAGTATATAGAGTATATAGAGTATATAGAGTATATAGAGTATATAGAGTATACAGAGTATACAGAGTATACAGAGTATATAGAGTATATAGAGTATATAGAGTATATAGAGTATATAGAGTATATAGAGTATATAAAGTATATAGAGTATACAGAGTATACAGAGTATACAGAGTATACAGAGTATAAAGAGTATACAGAGTATACAGAGTATACAGAGTATACAGAGTATACAGAGTATACAGAGTATACAGAGTATACAGAGTATACAGAGTATACAGAGTATACAGAGTATACAGAGTATACTATACAGAGTATACAGAGTATACAGAGTATACAGAGTATACAGAGTATACAGAGTATACAGAGTATACAGAGTATACAGAGTATACAGAGTATACAGAGTATACAGAGTATCAGAGTATTCAGAGTATACAGAGTATACAGAGTATACAGAGTATACAGAGTATACAGAGTATACAGAGTATACAGAGTATACAGAGTATACAGAGTATACAGAGTATACAGAGTATACAGAGTATTCAGAGTATTCAGAGTATACAGAGTATACAGAGTATACAGAGTATACAGAGTATACAGAGTATACAGAGTATACAGAGTATACAGAGTATACAGAGTATACAGAGTATACAGAGTATACAGAGTATACAGAGTATACAGAGTATACAGAGTATACAGAGTATACAGAGTATACAGAGTATACAGAGTATACAGAGTATTCAGAGTATTCAGAGTATACAGAGTATACAGAGTACATACGGGCACATATATTATGTGTGCGTATGTCGCTCGCTTACCGCCATTGTTAATATGCCCGTCTTGTGCTTCTTGCGCACCAGCATCGCCACATTCTTTTTCACATTCAAGGTAATGTTTTGATCGTCCGACTCCATAACCCATTGATGATTGGCGTAAGCGACTCGAACCACCCGTTTGAAGCGCAATTTGGCAAGCTTCCTCCGCAGTGCGTCGTCAAATTCCTTATTGCGCTTATGCATTGTGGACGACCTTGATAGATTTCAATTCAAAATATATATATATTTTCTCTGCTTTATTATGTTGTGTTTTTGTATTTTTTATCATATAGACTGCAACATTCGCTGAGACTATATATATTAATAAGGGTAGACAGATTAACAGGCACTACTAAGTTTTTTAAATTTCGTTCTGTTTCAGCTTAGCTGTCATAAATATTGGGTATGAGTTAAGTGTCAAGTTTCAAGCGTAAGAGTTACCTTAAGGCGAATAACTACAAAAAATTGAATCTTTCTAAAAAGTCCTCGCACTGAGGAATATACTAAATCCTCGACATTCTTGCTTTCCCCTAACTGAATCGAATTTGGAGTGCAAATCGAATGCTCGCCGACGAGTGAATGAATGAGAAAGGAGTAAGCGCTGATTGAGTGCTTATGATAGGGTATGGAGTGAATGCTCAATTTACTCCTCAAGCTGCACAAAGCTCGGGACAAGCTTTGGGACACTATTGGGACATAGTCCCCTCGCTGAAGTGGTGAAATGGTGAGTTAGCAGCCATCGTGGTGCACAGAGAGAGATTTGAGTGAATGCCATCGAGTGGCATCAGATGGGGAGTTGAGTGTGCAGTGCGCTGAGCTTACACTCAGAGCCAGCCGAGCTGTTCATTTGGATGCTTCGCAATGTGTCCGTAATTTTGCGAACGCCAGTTCATTACGGTTTTCAAGGATAAGCGATGCCAACGTGCTGGCCCCGCACTGGCGGAACATTCAATTCAATTGTCGTCTTTTATTATCGTCTTTTGCCTTTCTCGTCTAACGGAATGCGCGATTCAAAAAGGACAACAAAATAAAACCATAAATAATTGACTTTGATTCTAAAAAAAAAAAGCAAAATCCAAAAAAAAAATATAAAAATAAATTATTAAAGTTACGTGCGTAAAATCTACAAAAGTTTTTTGACTTTTTTTTAAACATTTTTTTCCTTCCATATATATATTATATATATATATATGTGTGAAACGCAAACAAGTGCCAAATGTGATGTGAAGTAGCAAAAGGAAAGAAAAAAATTAAAGAGAAACACACAAAAAATGATTTAATAACTATTTTTAGCCACGAACCGCAAGTGAACGCATCTTTTTTGTTCTCGTCGGGAATTTAAATTAAACAAACAATTTAACCGGGTGAGTGAAAAGTTTCTCATATAAAACATAACTACGTAGTTATAACAATTCCGGTCAAATATTTGGAAACCTTTTTGCCGGATGCATTTAATGCACTGCGCTGCTATTAAGCTGGCTACACTTAGTCCGCTAAACCTGTTTGCAGTTCTCTCTTTTTTATACCTTTTTTCTCATGTGAAAGTTTTCAGTAGTTGCAATGGAACTGCAGTTCCTTCTATGTATCAATCTAAGCGAAGCCAACTGGCAACTGAAAGATGAGCCAAGCCTACTTGTTGTCTCTTGCCTGCCCGAGTACAAAGCCTTGTGATCTCTATTAGATACTTGTCTAAATATATTTATCTAAAAGATGAAGCTTAGGAAGCACGGAACAAATCTAAAAACACATTGAGTATTGCTGTGCCTTATCTTGACTTCTACCTCTCTCCTACTCTCTCGCTCCCTATATATTTATATATATATATGTATGTCTCCTTCATTCTCTATCTCTCTCTCTCTGTCTCTGTCTCTGTCCTCTGCCCTCTCACTCTCTCTGTCGCTCTTTCTTTCCTTCTTTCCTTTTTCTCTTTCACTCTTTCTCTCTCTCTATATATATGTCTCTCTCTCACTCATACTCTATCTGTCTCTGTCCTGCTTTCTTTTACTTTCTTTGTCTTTCTGGATCTCTTTCCTTCACTCTCCCTCACTCTCGCTATCTTTAACGCTCTCAATCTCTCTGTCTCTCCAACTCTATATCTCTCTCTCTTTATATATATATATTTATATATGTATATATAAATTTCCCTCTATATGTCTCTTATCTCTCCCTTTCTCTCATCTCTGCTTCTTATTCATTTTTTATCATTTTCATTTTCTAAAATTTTCCCATTTAAAATATCAAATTTTCTTGCCTTTTCCCTTAAATAATTCAGATATTTGCCTCATTATGAAGTTTTTGGTAGACCAAGCACATTTTTAATCTCCTTTTTGTTGTAACTCTCTCCTCTCCTGCGGTCTTTCTCTGTACATTTCACTATAACTGTCTGCCTCCATCGCATATTTATTCTTGTTCTTCATTTTATCTCGCTCTCTGATTCAACTTTATTCCTTTCCTCATCCATCTCTATCTTATTCGTTTTCTCTCTCTTTTTATCTCTTTTTTTCGGTCTCTCTTTTTAGCTCTATCCCTCTCTTTTTATCTCAAGCTCTCTCTCTCTGTCTCTCTCCCAATCTCTCGTCTACTAATTTTATAATTGCTTATAAAAAATTTCTTAATTATATTGTCTGTTTGCAGTGGCCTGTAAATTCTTTTTACCGAAAATAAATTATGGCATTCCAATCCCTCACACCCACTCTCTCACTCTCTCTCTGTCTCTCTCTCTCACTCTTGCAGTGTCTCATTCTCCTTCTCTCTCAGTTTTTATATCTCACTTAACTTTTTTCGAATTATTTATTTGTTAGCCTGCAGCTTGTCAATCTTTGCATCTCTTTTGGTATCGCTCTGCTGCCCCTTCCCCCGGACTCCCCTTAAATTAACTAATTTTAAATTAAATTCGGTTGAGGTCGTCCATGAAATTGAGAGAAATATAAATTTTTGATTAATGTGGTATGAATAATTTATTTGCTTCACATTAAAACAATTACTTGGTTGCAAAAACATTAATGCTTAATGCAAAAGGGTAAAGACACACACACTCACATTATATATATACATATGTATATTTATATATGTATACATATTTGATACATATGTAGTTATATGTGTGCGTGGGCCAAAGAAGTTCGTATGATGTATATGCAATGTCTTTGATGGCGTTAGGCTCGCAAAATACAGCTAATACAATCGAAATAAAATAATGAATTATTTAAAAAACACTGAGGTCGCCTTCGCTGTGGGCGTACGGGTCTCAATTTGCTTATATGCTAATATAATGACTGTGCTTGTGCCGTCTCGCACCCTTAGAGCTCAACTCAACTCAATTCAGCTGAATTGACTGCGAGAGCTGTCTTTTATTTGCCTAATCCAAATGGATGTTATTCAATATATATCACACTGGGAGCCACAGCAGCAGCGAGCTGACAGAAGGGAAAAACTTGAATTTAGCCTGGCGAAATAGTGTCATAGCTTTAAAGGCCATTAATAATAGAGAACTAGAAAATATCTGCACTAAATAAATATATTACGAAATATATTTTATATGTCAATTTATATATATATATATAGCTGTGCTCATGAAAAACAAAGTGCGACTGAGCCTTAAATGTGAGACAACGAAACTTAGTGAGAGACACAATATTTGAAACTAATATTAAAATTAGCATATTTCTTATACATTTAGATGATTTTGCCTTGCAAACTTGGGAACATGCGCACTTCAGGGCCTGAGAAAGGAATCAAAATGTGTTTGTTCATAAAAATAGTAGTGGCTACTGAGAACAAAGGAAAATCACTACTATTTCTATGAACAGGCAAATGAGATCTGACCCAAAATAACGGGACTTCACTTTTTTGCATTCTACTCTAAATAAAAAGTGGACATCTCTCAATGTTTCACCTTTTCATTTGGCTTATGTTCTGTGCGGCACTATTTTCATGAACACTGCTGTATGTATTTGGTATAAGCAAGTGCCAAATATTTGGTTAATATAAACCACATTTCACATTTGAAATCTATTTTTGATATGCATGAAATTTGTATCTTAAACAAAATGCATAGAAAATAAATAACAAATGCTACAAAATAAACATTTGTCATATGCAAATCAACATTTGCTGTTTGTTTGTTGTTGTTTATTTGTTTATTTCATTTTTTCATTTGAAAGCGTGAAATTCCATGTTATATGATGATTTAGATGCGACAGCAAATGTTTTTCGGAGTTGACAAAAAAGTTGTACATTAAAAAATAATAAATACATACATACATATATATGTTTTAAAGCTGTGTGTTTTGGTCACTTGTCTACGAGGTCAGCTCAAGAAGTCTCGCAAATTTCTTGTTTTTATTCATAAATATCTTTTAATCCCCATCAAATATTACACAACGCCTGTGCGTGATTTTTTCATCCGATACTCGAAGCACTTCAAGCCTCGTTCAGCTGGTCCTTCGCTGCAGCCTTTAGCTCCCCAACCGTAGCGTGGCTTCCTGCCTTCATGGGCGCCATCAGTTGTTCGGGCAGAAGAACAACAAGCAGAGGCTGACCAGCTCTGGGGCATACGCTGGCTGCGGTTGCATCATTAGTGTCTTGTTTCTGCTTACAAATTTGATACAGATTCTGTGCTCCATTTTCGGTAAGAGGCGAAAATCGAAGACGAGCCGAGCCACGTTCCAGCCAAAGAGCTGTCAAGCTGCTAGGCATAGCATCGAAAATCGAGTCTGGGTAATCCGTGGAAATTCAACTTGCGCGCACTCTTCGAACAGACCTCGCAGAGCTATAAAAATTAAATTGCAAATATTGAAAAAACTGAAAGTAGTTAATGCATGCAGATAATTAAATAGAATTTATAAATTTAATTTATTTATAATATTTAAATCAATATAAAAAACACATGAAAATTTAATTTAATTTAATAATATCCAAATGATATGCCAAACTCCCACATTGTTATTTGCATAAATGCACTATGATTATGCTCCCTCTGAACAGTATGAAATCTGTGTCGATTTCCGAATCAATCTGCTCAACTTTGGGCCAACTGCCCCAATGTATGTGCTCAGCTCTAATTGTTTAAACTGTTCAAATTTCGATCTTAATGAGCAGCGCATGCGAGAGCTATGCGTAGCTCCTATTTACAAGCAATTGCACACCAGTTTGTATCAACAGCATGATTAGATTACGAGTGGAGCAAATCCATTAGCCCAAGACTATAGACAACGGCCATGAGGCGTATGCAGCCAAAGCCAGTGTAACCAAAAACCGCAATCTTGTTATATTCAGTTAGCCCAACAAACATGCCGCAATAACCTATACTTACTGCGTTAATGTATGAGCACAAGTTGTGTGTGTGTGTGTGTGTGTGTGTGAGTGTGTGTGAGCAGTCAACAAAGTTACCAAGCTGCGTGGAGGGGCGGAAGTAAGAAAAAGTCGTAATCCCAAGATGTCAACCCGGTTGTCGGGCGCCTAAAGAACTTTCTAATCTGAATATATATAATATATATATATATACATATATATATATATATATATGTGTGTGTGTATATAAAGATGAAGAATTTGGTGTAATAAACACCGCGGGTGAAGGCTATGGGTGGTTAGCTAAAATGTGTACAAGACTTACGCGTAATGCGTACGAAACAAAACAAAGCACGTTTTGCACTCAATGAGGCACAGCAGGTGCTCTACTGCAGACACACACACACACACACACACACCAACATACCAACACACACACGCTTGAGCTCAGATTTTTTTGGGGTTGAGCTGAACGCATATGCTAAGCGATGCTAAGCGTTAAGAGCTAGTTAGTCAAAGTCAGGTAAGGAAAAGCGAATGTTAACGATGGTCTATGCCTTGGCCAGGGTCGGTTCAAATAGGAGAAGAAAAAAAGAGCGCCGCAAGCACGTGACACTGATGATGATGCTGCTGCTGCTGCTGCTGCTGCTGAGAGCTAAGAGCTGAGAGCTGAGAGCAAGAGGATTTCATAAAATGAAATTTTGCTATACAAGAGCCCATTTGACTTTTATTGCTGCTATGTTATGAGAATACTCTGTCCGCCTGTCCGCCTGTCCGCCCAGTTGCCGTGCTGGCCCGGGTCGCCCATCAAGTGCAATTAGAATACGCAAGGCTTTAAGCCTTCCCACCTTGCCGCCCACCCACAGTCCGTTGTTATCGCTGCATAAGTAAATAGTTGCCAACGAGTCGCCCTTTAAAATTATTTCGCAAATTCAAATGTCAACAACGTCAGTCGGTGGCAAGACAAAAAAAAACACAACAGAAACAAAAAGGGATACGCCTAAAACCAAACAATAGCGAACAATAACAGCGAGCCAAAAAGGAGGAGAGGCAAAAAGCGACGTGAAGGAAGCGCAAGCCACAGACCAGATACCCTTTCAGATAGGAGACAGTAGATAAAAGTATAATTTAATAAAAGAGCCACAGCAGAAAGAAACACTCGAAAAAATATACTTTCCTATAGCAGAACTGTATGCTATAGTAAAAGATTGTTATTAAGCAGTTATTGGCTATGAAAAAGGAACTCTTTTTGTTCGCTACAACAAATAACTTTGTGTATTGGCTACAATTATTTATTATACTAGACATAATATTATTATGTAGATATCTACATTAATTAGTTTATTTTTTTATTTACGAATTTGTTACTCAGCATTTATAGGAAATTACTAATCTATAAGAAGTCGCAAAAGCAAAGTTTGATTAGGCTTCTGAAAGTCTGGCAACACTTGCCATATATCATATAGTAATATAGTAATATAGAAGTAAGCAAAGGAATTTCTTTAAGCCAGTGATCCGATACTGCCAAGCAGCATAAATGTTAGGACAGCTCAATCCAGTGAACATCAATTTCGATACCTGGCACAACTCCAGTGACTTGACTTGGCCTATATGAATATGGCGAGCCAGCACGTACCGTTACGATAAAGACTCGAGAGCACTTACAACTAGAATATGTGCTCTTCAGATTGGCATCGATTTCGATAGTTCGGTTCAGGCAGTGTTACCTACTTTATGACCAAGCTATGAAGCCCTCTCGGAGGCAGCGAAAAAAGGCGCAAGATGAGAATGTCAGCAAAAACAAGGCGAACAACAACAACAACAACTTCACTAATATAATATTTATTACGGTGATTATGTCTTGAGCCAAGGGCAAGTGCTAGCAACGCCCAACAGCCTCGCAGCAGCGCAGCCCCCCAAGCGTGTCCCCAACGGCCGATGGGAAAGTGGAAATAAAAGTTGAGGGAAATGTAATAAGCAAGCACTTTGTGGGGACCAAGCGGGCAGCGAGGTGCAGATACATCAACTATGATGGACGCCGGCAATGACGACGCTGACGACGATGATGAAGAGACAACACAGCTGGCCAAGGTCCATTGCCGTAGGAACAAACTTTAATTCATTTTATGTACCTTCTCTCTCGCTCTCACTCTCTCTCTCTCTCTCTCCGTCTCTTTGGGCAATAAAAAATCGCTTTTGAAATCAGCTTTTGTGATACAAATCAGAAAACTTAACTAACTTTAGTGGTCTCTCTCGTTCTATCACTCTCTCTCTCTCTCTCTCGCTCTCTCTCTCTCGCTCTCTCCACTTGGCCTGCTTAATCAATAGGTGACGCATCGCCATCTACACCTTTGCACGCGTTTACGCGTTAACTGCAAATGATGAAAAGCGTTCGACCGGAAAACATTTATTTGCCAATACATTTTTAAACAAGTTTACCTCATCATTTCCGCACCTGAATTGCAATTTTTTATTAATTTTGTTGAATTTGCAGAAATGAACTTTCCACAAACTGCGATCCACATCACAAAGTGCGCATTAACAAGCTCTAGTCGACTAGCAGATGCCCTGAACCAAGCACATACTATGGGAATAACTTACCTTTCCCAGCTAACATTTTCAGAGCATGCTACAACTAGATGTATATATTTTCTTATTCACACTTATCTAGCATCTAGTATTGCCTTGGACTATCGATCTGCAGTCACAGATTTGCCATGGCTTAAGAAGCCTTCAAAATATTCGCCTCTAAAGCAATGCCTGACTCTAGCTGGGATATTCTCAGCCAGATTTTTGGCTCGTAAGAAACATTTTTATAGATCGACATTTCAAAATTGTATTCGCAAAATTTGGACATTTTGGGAAGGGTGGGAAGAGAAGAGAAGAAATTTGTCTACGCTTAAAACAACAAATTTATATTTACTTTTTGTGGCCTGACACGCCTCCTTCTGCCAGCAACGCCGTTTGCAATGCATAATAAAAAAAATATATATATTTTTCTATGTATATATATATATATATCCATAATAGTATATCCAGTTTATATATTTATTTTCGCAATTGATTTTGTGCTTCAACCGCGTACATTTGTGTGCCGACTGAGGTCATGACAACATAATTGACAAATTAACCTGGTTTGGCTGCATTCGCATCATGAGTCTGCTTGGCTTTTAGCTTCGGCGCGACTGCCACAAAATTGATCAATTTCAGATTTTTGAGCAGAAATTTGAACCTAACTTTGTATGCAATTCCAGCTGGACACAAATTGGAACCTTTTGAAGTTGAAGACCGTCAACGCTTGGATGGACAGCTAAGGCTGTGTGTTAGCGCCTGGACACGTTGAGGGCAGCAACGTTTGGAGAATACAATGAAGGTTTCTGATTTCAACAGGGCCGTTTGTCAAAGTCACGTCGTCCCGTGCAAAGGATGAGGCGTTTAAAAGTTAATAATGCATCATTAGCATCAGCATCAATCGCGGCCCACGCAGCCCAATCAAAATATAGCACGGCCATCCACCTGCGCGACAGTCAAAGCCAGAGGCGGAGGCGGAGCAGTCTGAGACTCTTTGGGCTGTTCGCCGTTGTCGCAGTTATTCAATTTCATGTGTACTGTGTTCTTTTTTTTTTTTTTTTTTTTTTTTTTTTTTTTTTTTTTTTTTTTTTTCGTTTTTATTTCTTTATTTTGTTGCAGCTTATTGTCTTAGACTCTATAGCGCATTTAGCTCTAAACCTTAACTAATGGGAGGGCAGATATGCCAATTATTCTGCACTTGTAGCTACTATCTTAATTAGTTCTAATATTGTCTAGAGGATGCAATCTCTTCAGTCTTCGCCTATTGTTGTTTATAGCCAGGTTGCTTGCGAGATGGTTAGGATGCGCTGCAAGTCTGTCCGCGTATCTTGAACTGTGTCGCCCAATGAGTTCAGCAACTGTGGGAATTGCTAAATCCCTATGTAAGACTGAGTTTCTTACAAACCAGCTGGCTCCAGTCCATCTGCGTAGTGCTTTATTCTGCAGGGTCTGAATTTTGTTCCTTGTAGTCTTCGCCGAGGAGCCCCATAGAGAGATACCATATACGAAGGTTGGGACAACTATTGCCTTGTAGATGGCGGCCTTGCTGCTGTAAGACAACTTGCTTGAAGCTCTCAGCATCCAGTCGAGGGTTTTTAGCTTGCTTTTGCATTTTGAGGTTACTTGACTTATGTGCGCTTTAAAAGTCAGCCTTCTGTCAAGAGTGATACCAAGGTACTTTACTTTTGAGGCTTTGGGAATAGTGGGCCCCAATGCAACGCTTGGGCAATCTCCTCTTCTAGTGGCGAAGGTAGTATGTACAGACTTTTGTGCATTAATGGTGATACACCACCGTTTTGCCCAGCGTCCGAAAGAGTCCAGATATTTTTGTAGTGAGTCTGAAGCTTCTTGCGCAGATACGTGACGTGATAAGATGGCGGTGTCATCTGCATAGGTCGCTATGAGTACTGCATCTGTACTTCCTATATTTGGCTCGGGAGTTGGCATATCTCCTGTGAATAAAGTATAAAGTGTTGGGCCTAGAACACTACCCTGTGGTACTCCAGCCATAATTGGTCTAGTCAAGGATACTGTTTGCCCCCTTGACACTTGGAAGGTTCTTCCAATAAGGTATGAGGATAGCAACGCGAAAAATGGGGCTGGAAGGGTGGTCCTCACTTTCTGCAGCAGTCCCAGGTGCCAAACTCGATCAAACGCCTGTTTGATGTCTAAAAAGACGGCAGAGCAGTACATCTTTTCTTCAAAGGCTCCAAGGATATGGTGCACAACTCTGTGAACCTGTTCCGGTGTTCCATGCTGTCTCCTGAAGCCAAACTGATGGTTTGGAATGGCCTCCTGGCGTCCCAGATGTGTCAGTACTCGTTCCAGAAATATTCTTTCGAATATTTTGGAGAGTACTGGCAACAGGCTAATTGGTCTGTACGACTCAATTTCTCCCACGGGTTTGCCAGGCTTAGGAATCATCACAATCACGGCGCGCTTCCAGCAGGCTGGAAAGTGCCGGATGCGGAGCATGGCGTTGTACACCATAGTTATGTAGTCTATGGTGGAGTCAGGCAGTGCTCTAAGGACTCTGCCGTTTATTAGATCATATCCAGGGGATTTTTTTGCCTTCACTCTTCTGATGTGTTCAAGAACCTCTTCTTTTGTACATCCAGTTATCTGGTCTTCAGCTGGGAGGGGCGAGAGAACGATGTCTTCTGTTGCTTCGATTTCTGAGGCCTCTGCGGTAATCACCGGCGTGAATTGGTCTTGAAGGTGGTTTGCAAAAGCCTCAGCTTGAGCTTCGTCTCCAATGTGCCAGGAACCAGAAATGCTCCGAATGGGATGACGTCGTATTGGCTGCCGTTTGAGCTTTCTTGTAAATTTCCATAATTGAAACTCTGCGTCAGTGGGCGATTCAGCTCGTACCAGCGCATCGCTGATACACCTCTTTTGAAGCAGGGCGAGAGCAGCTTTAAGATGCCTCGTGGCTTCGTTGTACATGGATTTGGCATCAGGCGTGCGTAATCTTAACCAGCGTCTCCTGGCCCATCTTTTGTGTATTAGTAGGTGTTGGGCCTCCAAGGTGAGGGGGATGTTGTACGGAGACTGTTGTCTTGTTTGGCAAGATGGTGGGGCGGCTTGGTGCGCAGCTTTGACTATTTCTTCCTGCAGTTTGTTTGCTGCGTAGTCCACGTCTTCAGGAGTGTTAAGTTCCATTTCTATGTGCAAAGAGTAATGGAGCTCGCGCCTAAAGACTCCTAAATCTGATCCTGCTGGCAGTAGTTGTTTCCTAATGGGCAAGGGCTGTGGCTGCGCGTGGATTGTGACTATTAGTGGCAGGTGGTCAGAGGATAGGTCCAAGGATTCTTCAATGGTCAATTGCCGGTCACAGATGCCTTTGTAGACAGCGAAGTCGATTGCCGAGGGCCTGTGTCCATTAATTGGGTAACGGGTGGGGGCTCCAGTCGCCAATATGCTGAATTGTAAGTTTTGAATCGCCTCAAATATGACTTCTCCGCGACGATTCGCACTATTGCTTCCCCAAAATGGGTGCCATCCATTCCAGTCGCCGCCGATGAGGGTCTTATTCAACCTTTGGCCTAGAACCTGTTCCATGTGATGATCACACAGACCAGTGTTTGGCGGAAGATAAATTGACGCAACTTCGATCGCTCCAATAGACGTAGGCAGGGTGATGGCTGAGACCTGCATTGTTGCGTTGCAAATTGGCAGTAAAGGTGTATGCGGTATTGTTGCTCGTATGAGGATTGAGGATCCACCAAAGCAGTTTGCTCCTTCACCATGAGCCTGATAGTGTTCGTATCCGAAAATTTGTGTAGTGGGGCACTCATGAGTTTCTGTTATTAACATTATATCTATGTTTTCTTGTGAGAGAAACGCAGCCAGTTCCTGAGTCTTGTTTCTCAGGCCATTGGCGTTCCAGATACCCACACGTAAAGCCATTATTTGTAGGCAAGCTTGGTTATGATGGCCATTAAACTGTTTAGCATGGTTGCTTGTTGGGATTGTACTTCTCGCATCGCTTTGAGCTCGGCATTAATTGCGTCAAACTGACGTTGTTGTTGCTGAAGCATTTCAGTGAACAAAGTGTCACTTGTGGTATTCTTATTTGACGGTCCACCTCTAGCGGCCTGTGCGTAAGAAACACCACTAATAGGCGTTGCAAAGCTCGTGGCTTGGGTAATGCTCCGGGGCCTTGTAATTTCGGAAGCAGTACTCGGACCCGTAGACGGTGTTTGTGTGGGACTCCTTTTTTGTGCTGGGGATTGCAATTTGCGCAACCGCTTGTATACTTGGCAGCCCTTATAGTTGGCTGGGTGCTGTAACTCACAGTGCACACAAGTTGGTGCCTGGTCCTTTTCGCGGGTGCAGTCTTTGGATGCGTGTTTCCCGGCGCAACGCACACATCTGGGAGCTTTGTGGCAGTAGCGTTGTGTGTGTCCAAATTCTTGACAGCGATGGCATTGTGTCAGGTCGTTGTATCTTCTTGGCAGTTCCACTGTGCAGCGTTGCCTGCAGACAACTCGAATGTCCAAAATTTCTTTGTTGTTGGGGGCCTGAGCCACGTCAACAAAAAATATATTTAGCGGTGTTTTGTCCATACGGCTCAGTGGGTTGTGCACATTTGTAATTGTGTGGCCTTTGGTTTCCAATTCCTTTTTAATTAGTGTTGTATCAGTGCTGGAGTGAAGCCCTTTGAACACGACTCTATATGGTTTGTCCTCCTTAAGCTGGTAGCAGTGGAACTCCAATTCCAGCTTAGTAAAGTGGTCTATAACTCTGCGATAGTCCTCACTGCATTGGGTTAATACACCTATGTTATTCTTCTTTGGCTTAATTACGTATGATTTAGCATCAATTACTTTATCTATTATCTGTTGAAGTAGGGCCACAGACTTGATGTTTGGACACCATATGGGGGGCGGACGAGGTTTCGGAGTAGTTTGCTGGTCGGTCAATACTGGGGCTTCTGGAGCTACAGGTGATTCGCTGTAGTCTTCATCTTCTTCTACGAGCAGTGAAAATCGATTTTCTGATATTAATGCTGCATTGCTGGTGCTTGGTTCGTCGAAGATGAGCCTTTTCTTGATGGTTTTTGGTGAATTTGGCTGTTTACGTTTCGTGTTTTTGTTGTTAGTGATGCCTTGCACGGAGGCGATATCTATTTTTGAGTTTATTGGCATGATGGAGGCTTGCCTATTTGCCATCACAACGTTAAGCTGGGCTTGCATTTCTGCATTTACCTTTACAGCTGTAGCGAGGTTATTGACATTAGATGTCATCGCGGATTGTGCTTTTGAGTGCAGGCGCACTCGCGCCAAGCGACGAAATTTCGTAAATTGCAATTAAAGCAATTGAGTTACGCGGAAGCAAGCGATAAGAAAACGCTGCGTGTGCGGTTTTTGTTGCTGTTGCGTTGAAGAATGCACCGCAAAGTTCTATTTTTAGAACTCTGCAGCAGTAGAGCTTAAGCGAAGGCTGTTCGAATTCACGTCTTTACAGGTCGAACGACTGATCGCGATTTTGTACTGTGTTCTGGGTGAGTTAAATAAAGGGGCAATTGAAGCGAATCGCATTACAATCGTAATTCGAATAGCTGCGGTGCGGTTTCCAGCAAGATGATTCCCGAAAACAAGGGGACAAGGGGACAAGGGGTCTACAGGGGACACTTTTGCTGCACTACTTAATATATATTACATATGTATCCTTCACAGGCTCAACTACAACAACAACAACAACAAGAACAACAACTGCATCGATATCAACTATTGTGAGCAAGCAGAACGACAGCAGCTCCGAGAATAATTTCTATTTTGATGAGAACATTACGAGCAAGGCGCTTGCATTCGTTGCTGCTGATACCGCGGCGCCGCAGCTCGTTGACGTCTCTTCGATGCCCGGCGAGACGCAGCCACCAGCAACAGCAGCAGCCACAGCCACAGCAACAGCAACAACAACAACAACAACTCGCACCACAACTCGAACAAGCAGAACTCGGACCACAGCTCGCCACCAAGCTGGACTCGTGGCATTCAGCACGGCTCGACTGCGAACGGAGTCGGGTCTCGGCAACAGTAGCACGACCAAGAGTCAAGATCTTTTAGCTGGCTCAGCGGCAACAACCAAGAGCGCACGCAGCGCCACAGTGAAGCAGCCCATCGATGCGGCACGTGCCAGAAACCATTGGACAGCTGGTGGCGGCGCCACAGATGCGGAACGCTCGCGCACATTTCGCAGCAAATACCATCATGAGAACCACTATGGACCCTTCTTCGAGGAGCCGTCGAATCTAGTCGATCCCGGCAAGACGCTCGTGGCTGCCGTGCATCTCTTCACAGAAGCTGTGCTCAATTGTCGCGTCGGCATGCTCAAGGACAAAACGGTAGGAATGCACAATTGTTATCGAATAGCGATAAATATCGAAGATCGATATAAACATATTTGATCTGTATTCAAATATCCTATATCCCATATCACAATGGCAGGTCATGTGGGTCAGGCGCACCACTGAGAAGGTGTCGCTGCTCACCGTTGGGAATGTGACATACAGCGGCGATCCTCGTATACGGGTCAAGTTCCAATATCCGAACAACTGGCGCCTGATGATCAATCCAACACAGAGGGAAGACGCTGGCATATATATGTGCCAGGTTTCAACGCATCCGCCGCGCGTATTCACCACAAATCTGACCATTTTGGGTAAGTCGAGAGGCACAGCTGAGTCCAGTGCCTTAGATCCTGGATCTAATTCTGGTTTTGCCGCAGAGCCGCCGCTGCGGATCATTGACGAGCACGAACGAGATGTGGGCGACAGATATTACAAGTCAGGCAGCACCGTCGATCTCCAGTGCCAAATCTCGCGCAATTTCTATCAAAAGGAGCGCCTGGCCATACTCAAGTCAACGGAGTCGGGCAGCTCGTCTGGCAAGCCACTGAACGATACGGCTAGCGAAATAAATCTAATCGGCGATGCGAACCAAACTCACAACACATACTCCAGCCAGGAGCTGGAGAAATACTTTACTCACTTCATTACATGGGCCAAGGACGAGGAGCCTCTGCCAGCACTGACCAATAGACGTTCCAGGTAGGCTCTAGAAACTCAATGCAGGTTTCTTAAGCAACAAGGTTGCTCTGTACCTGCTGAAACTGGGATTGCAGAATATATTGGTTATATAGGTAACAGGTAGAGAGAGACGTGGCAGAAATTCTTGATCAAGACAACGCGCTGAGTCACTCTAGCCATGCCTGTCCATCCGTCCGTTGGTATGAAGGGGTAAAGCTAAAGACTTGCAATTTTAAGTATAGATTCCTGTATACCATACGCAGTACGATGTACCTTGTTTTTTTTTCGATAACTCATTCTATTTTCTTATCGTTCAAAATCGATAAATTCATTCCGGGTGCCTTCTAGTTGACCGCTCCCGACTAGCCTCAGTCCCGGCCCGTAGCTGAGGCAGTAAGTAAAGATTTTTATAAAATTTAAAGGGAATAAAATAGGCCTCTGAATTCACTTAACTGAATGCATAGTGTTTTAGTTAAAGTAGCTCATATTGAGGCTTATCTGCTCAAAATCGTCAAATGTGGCCTCACTCCAGGTTGCTTAATCCAGTTTTCGTGTGCTTCAATTTCAATTAATCGTATACTTAATTCACAGCGTATCCGATAAGTGGCTCAACAGTCGAATTTCAATTGCGGATGCCAAACTTTCAGACAGTGGAAATTATTCCTGTTCACTTGGTCGACTCTTCACTGTAATTGTGCAGGTTCAAGTACTCACGGGTAATATCTATAAACAGTGTTAGGCTCATCAAGTGTAACTTAATTTGATTTTATGCTTTCAGGTGAATTACCTGCGGCGGTTCAACACAACTTGGCACGCAGATCTGGCAGCTGTCTGTCCCTCTCATGGAGTCTCTTCATTATTGTTATTTGTTTTTACATACTCAAGAGCCATTCATCACAGTTTCATAGTATTAAAGCGACAATTGAATGAATGACAAGAGAGGAATTGTACTTAGCATATATATATATATATATATATATATATAGTATTTATGACTAAATACCAAACATAGAATATTTCTGAGAAAGGAAAAACAGATTTCCATATGTGTACGTATATGCTTCATGCTGTGTAACTGCTAAAACTGTACGATTTGTCCACAAACAAGATTCGTATATGTACATCAATTACATCAAAATACATTGCTAATACATTGCATATACATTGAATTTTCTATATCAATTTACACGACTTTCATGGATATTCTTCTTAATAAAATAAAGTCGACAACTTGTTTAGGTATTTAACAAACGAAAAACCAAAAAGAAAAAAAAAACGAAAATAATTCTGAATATCAGTTCAAGTACTCCCACAAGAACTTACCCAGTAATATTAAAAAAAAAACTAATTTCTTTTATTACAAACCAAATGATGGAAACTTGTACGCAAAGAGCCAAAACAAAACAAACAAAAAAATGAAAATTAAAATTAAATTTGTTATTACGTTTCGTTTGACGTGTAAGTCCAAGTGGAACTTTTACTTACATGGGTTCTTAACATTTAATTGTGTGTTTCGGCAATTAGTATGTTTGTAAATATTGTAAAATGACAGAAGTTAGGATTTTACCTCCTCAACTACTCCTCAACAACCGTGCATATTTTCAATTCTCATTCTGCTAGCTCAAAATTGTATAGTTAAACTATTTATTCGAATTGATATATTAGTTAATGGTAACCTACTTGGACGGATTAACGAAACTCTATGATCCACCAATATTGTTAAATTGCGATAATCGTGCATTACCATGATTACCATGCTATATTACAACTAAATCAAAATACATACTTTCAAATATAAAATCCACACAAAGTGTTTTCTTTCGCAGCATTCATGGAAAAGACTTTAAAAGTTTCTAGCCGCAAAGCTTGAGTAGCTAAAGTGGCTGAAACTAGCTGCAATGTTGCATTTCATAAGGTTTAAAACTTTGCTTAAGCTAAACTTTCTAGCTGAGCTTTTCACGCAGCTTAAGCTTAAGTTGTTAGTGGCTGAAAAGGCAAATTCTGCACCTTATTATTATTATTTATATATTTTTTATAATTTTAATTATTTATTTATTATTGTTTTATTTTTAATGTATTGCATATATAGTTAATTATTTTTAATTATTTCTAATTATTTATTTTATTTAACTGAAAATCATAGCAAGCAGCTTAGGAGCGGGTGTCATAACAGTTAGCTGTTTTCTGCGACCATTAGATAATAATTACAATCGAAATAGGCGGAAGTTTTTTGCACTTATTGTATATTGCTTTGCAAGATTCACTTAATAGTACAACGGATTATATGAAAATATGAATATATTAACTTTTATATACATTTTGCCAACAACATTTTTCTTGCAACGTTTGCAATATTAGTACATAAAGCTCAGCAATATTGTGAACCTTATAGCAAATGTAAGCTTTCAACTATCGATGACAATTACAAATCTATCGCTTGCTATCAGCTTGTCGATCGATATTTTGAAAGCAATCGCATACTTATTTATAGCACGAATTTTTATTTTCTTTTTGTTTAAATATATAACAACATCAACATTTGATTTATAATATACACGATTTTTTTTTTAATTTTTTTGAAAACATCCTGCAAAGCATAAAAAGTGGGTTTACTATACCAACTAGACAAACTAAGTGTGTATCATATTTTTCATTGCCCAGTGATAAGACACATCCGTGTATATGCATATATAGAGGTGTATTTACATATGTCTATATGCCGAAATTAACTGCAAACATATATGTTTGAGTGATTGACATTTTGCATAAAATTTAGAGGCTAGAACGTCCATTGAACACATAGGCTGAGATAAACGGACTGCGTAGGTGGGTGGGTGCCGTGCGGCAGAAACTATCGATGGGAAAAATGATTCCTTATGCCACTTGTTCGTCTGACTCTGACTTCACCTTGACTAAAGTACACGGGGCAATGCAAAAACAAAAACGAGCATTATGAAAAAACAGAAAAGCAAAAACAAAACGGCTGGAATGATAACACAGTAGCTAAAATAACATGCAAGTGATTTCCCACAGGCACAATCGTCGGAACAGATCATGTTGAAGCTACGTAACACCTGGTCGGCGGTGGGCTTTAATGCCGGCCCAATCGCAATTCGGTAAGTTGGACGTCCGAAATACGATATCAGCACGACAAGTAATTCAACTGCAAAGCGAAACTTATATCTTCTTTTTGATTACTGCTTCAGCTGTCTGTCCACAACCGCCAGCTGCAAGGACTCGGAATCATGGTTCTCCAAGCTGCTGGTGCGCAAGATCGAGCCAACGAAGGAGTCGCACAGTCGCATGCTGAGCGATAAGGAAATTATATACGCATTGCATACGCATAACGTGCGCCCCGATTCCATGGGCGACTATCTCAATAATTAGTGAGTGGCAAATCACATCAGATCAGATAACTGAAATTAATTAATTTTCGTTAAAAACCAATAGTAAAAACACTGTGGGCCTAATTAATGAGAAGAAGACGAGCCTGTCATGCAAATTGGTCGCCTCATGGACTGTCCAGGTGGGCGATATGGATCAGTGTCTGCATTTGTGGAAATACACCGGCGGCTTCGAGAAAATCGATCAGGCCAAAGAGGATCTGTGGCATGATGAAGAGTACTTGAAGCTAATGAGCGAGCGTTCCAAGTTCTTGCGTTCCCGCCACCTGCAATACCTGCTGGCCTTCAGCTATTGGCCGCAAATCGCCAGCCGAACAGGCAAGAACATCTACGAGATGCGGCAAGTATAACCAAATTATAGATATTCGATATGTTATATTTTATATATTATATATAAAAATACAGATCGTATCGTCTAACTCCTGGCACCATGATCGAGTGGGGCAACAACTGGGCACGTGCCATTAACTTCCGCAAGCATAACAATGAGGCCTTTGCTGGCTTCTTCTCGCAAATCGGTCGACTCTACAATGTCCATCACATTTGGTGTAAGGCAGTTCTCGCACTTATAATATATATATATATATATATATATATATATATATATATATATACATACATACATATATATTAATATGCTCTCGCATTGCTTAGGTTACAAGTCGCTGCAGGATCGCAAGGAGACCAGGGAGGCTGCTTGGCGTTCACCTGGCTGGGATGAGTGTGTAGCATATACCGTGCCCCTCATACGTGAGATGCACTGCCGCGTCCTGGCACCCACCGAATTTTCGCCCTCACAATAGTGTGGGTCTACCTAAACCCAGCACTTCTAAAGAAGATATAATACTGTTGTGACCCTACCGCCAAGCCAAGCCAATCCAACCCAACCCAAGCCAAGCCTGCGACCTATTTCTGTTGAAAACTTGTATATAATGCCAGCATCCGAATGCTTTCATTTCTCTTTTAGCTCTTACTTAAGATAAAAGTGCATTTTTGTTGTCTAACACATACATATGACTCCTATATAATTGAAAACTACGTGTCTACACATACATATATATACCACTTTATATATATACATGCACATATGGAAAAATATGATATATTGAAAATGATCAGAGCAAAAAAAAAATGGAATATAAAATTGTTAATATAATTATGTACAACAAATAAATTGTGTATGAATCGCATTTACTTGAAAAAAGTCTTTAAAATTTACTGTCGATTATTTTCTTTTATATAGTTTTCAGAAACTCATATTTTCAAATTCGAATTTACAGAAACATGCTTCTCTTAGGCTTCCTTACAGCAGAACAACTTAAGGTTAAACATTTGACTTGATGTTTGTGCACATTCCAATTCCTTTAAGTATTTTCTTTCTTTTCAATTTTCATTTTTTCTTAATATGTACACAGACGCTTAGTAGTAATAATTATATTCTTGGATCAGCTGCTCATTATATATGTACAGTATTTTTTTAAAGCCAAATCAAGTCGTATAGATAGTGGAATTAAATAATTAAGTTAGCTAGATTTGAGCTTAATTTAAACTAAAAAAAAGTCACATTAGCATAAGAAATCAATTCCTATGATATACTTATCCGATGTTGAGAAGATTGTTCGCTTAAAAATTAGAAACAAAATAACTTTAGCTTTTCATATTGATTGCTATTGAACATATATAAATACATATAATATACAAATATATATGTATATGTATATGTATATATATATATTTATATATATATATATATATGTATATGTATACATATATGTATATATATATAAATATGTATATGTATATGTATATGTATACATATATGTATATATATACACATATGTATGTGTATACATATATGTCTATGTATACATATATATACACATATACATATACATATACATATACATATACATATATACATATACATATACATATATACTTATATATTATATATATTTACAATATACATTTCATGACAAAATTTTTAATGACCTCCATGCAGAGGTATAGAAACTATTAACAAATAACTGTGTCTTCTAGCACATAATCCATATGTTGGCAGCCAGCGAGATGGTCCGTGCTGATTGTTGATCTGATTGCTCGACGGCCCTCGCCTTCAGACATATGTATAGATATCAAAATAAAATTCATTCAACGGCATCCGCCAAATGCTGATGGATGCATAACAAAATTTGGTAAAAATCATAAAATGTGAGTTAACTAAGTGGTTGAAGAAATCGCGATATACAGCTGTTGTTCTGCTGTCCTAAATCATTCACAGCTGTTATCTTATATAGTTAGTCTGGCTTATTTCTTATTGGGAGATCATCTCTTCGGCCTGCTGGCGTACAGTCTTGAGATGCTTCTTTCCTTGCAAATGCTGCTGCAAAATGGATATATGATTCATTGCCTTGTTGCATAGCTTGCAGTAATACGAGCCGGATGGAGTGCGATACATGGACAGATCGCCATTTATATCAATGATGCAAGCTGCTGCTATTGACTGCTGCTGCTCGCCGAGCAGTTCAAGTGCGTTTGGATCCTCGTCGAGATTTTGCTGGCGTAGCTTCTTCTGGTGTTTGGCTCCATCGAGATGCATTTGGATTTGAGATGCCGATGTGACGCTGATTTTGCATATTTTACAGGTAAGGCTTTCGTCGACAGCGTTCAGCTGGTGCTGCTCCTCGCCGATGTCCATCATGTCACTGGACATGTCATGTAGATCTGCTACAGATCCGCCTCGCATGAACATCTCACCAATGCCAAAGCGACCGTCGTCAATCATAGCCTCTGCCTTTGTGCCAGTGCGCACCCAGTTGCCGTCTGAATTGTAGTAGCCAGCGCCCGATGGCTTTGAGCGTTTCTGCACTACCAGTTGATGTTTGCGTCCAGCATAGTGCTGACGGGCATGGGTCATCGAGGTAAGCGGCAGATCGCACAGATTACAATGGAATGCATTTGGCCCGGTCGGGCCCTGTTTGACGAGACGTTTAATGGGCGGTGTCTGAAGTCCCATTTCGGTATAGTTTTTGGCCAGCCAAGCGCTAATGTGGCGATCGTGAGCCTTGGATTCATAATGATCCTTGGCACTCTTCATCGAGGTCATCTGTGACTTGCATAATTGACAGGACAGTGGATGGATCAATTTGTTTAGCTCGTCCGGGTAACTTTCGTCGCGGCCCTGAAACAGAACCAAATTATTGCCTTCGGCCTCCACTGATTCGCACATTTTCCTCTTCAGTTTGCGTTGTGATGCAATTGCAGATGAATGCTCCATATTATTCATCATAACTGCCTCACTCTGCATTCCTTTTCCGGCAGTGTGAAAACGATTTGCAGCCACCTTCAGCGCCGGTTGCGATGATAGCTTAACGGACACAGACTCGCAAACGTGCTTTGGATGTTTGTCTGTTGTTGTGATTAGTGGTATTTGATAAGTACTCAAATATCCAGAAGTCATTTTCATAAAATTTTTTTTTTTGAGACAGAACGTAAGGTTACTTAAAATCTATTTAAAACAGCACTAGTGATGTGTTGAATTTCCGTGCGCCTCACAGCGCAGGCTCAAAAGTTATCGTCAAAGTAACCATCGCTAAATTTTCAATGGGGTGTCAGATCATTCATGTGAAGCACAAATATCGATTTAATTCCATCGCTTAAAGTGCCCATCGCCCTTCAAAGCTTCCATTAATCGCATAAGACAAATAGATACCAAACTGGTTATTTAAAAGTAAACTAGCATACGATTATACAATTTCAGAGTTTTATTTAAATAAATGTCTATTGAATTTAAAGAAAAAGACTCTTTATTTAATTGTCGGGCAATGAGCGAATGATGTCCGAATCTCCAGGATCGGTAATGGACATCGTGCACACACGGAAGTATTTACCGCAGGCGGTGCCCAGCTCAATGTTGGTTCCACTGTAGTGCTGGACTTCTGTTTTGGCCAACATGGCGTAGTATTCAATCTCCGACTTCCTGAAATTGTCAAAAAATATGATTTTTAATTACATGCCCATAACTTTACCGACTGTATGCCACGATATGGCAATCAGAAAGAGTCTCTAGTAATAAAAATTCGTCAAGGCATTCGGAATTACAAAAAATCATCACATAAATAAGTTTCGATTACTATTCAGATCTATTGAGAATGACTCCTTACCCCAATCACATTAACATGAGTGCGTGCGTGTGTGTTGTTACTGGAACCATTTGGAGACATGCGGAACTAGTTCGAACTGTTGCATTGTCGTTGGCGACTGCTGTTATACTACTCCATAGTTTCCATCAATATTATTCGATTGGAATCATATTTCTCAGTCAGCATTAAAGAAGACTCCATATGGTTCCAATAACTACAACAACAGCTACTTATCACTGTTCATACTTGGGCGTAATGGAAATCTACTTCTCAGTAGTATTTTCGTTTATAATCCAACACGAGGAACACATTTTCGTTTTTACCTCAATGCGGGCGTATTGCTGGCGATGAGCACCAGTTTGGCCTTGCCCTGACGCAGGGTCTTCAGCGTTTGCTTGTAACCCAGGCAGTATTTGCCAGATTTCATAACCAGCGCCAGACGCGCATTGGTGCTCTCTAAGGCCTTTTTCTGAAATTAGCATGTAAGAACGTCAATTGGTTAATAAAATATACGCTATGCTTCGGTTAGTTTTTTTATATTTACCTGTTTCTTTACGGCAACCATATTGAATGTTTAAAGTCACACAAAAACAACTAAAAGAAACAAGAAAAATTACTTAAGTAAAATATTTTATTAAAAGGCGGAGCAAACAACCCACCTTGGTCGAGTGACGCTGTCAAAAAGGCAGATTTGTCAGCAAGGCGGAAACACGCTGCCATTGTAAGGGTTGCACTGTTGATTTAGCACTTGTATGGTAACCCTAAGGTTGCTAGCACACGATACGATTTAGTGCATAGCAGAGGTGCATATACTTATCGATAGTACTTAAAGTTGTCTATATAAATAAAAAATTTAATTTATATTCTAAACTGGTAATTATTGCTGTTTCAATATGTCTAATATTATTAATTTACTGCCTTTACCACTTTGAACTATAATATTTTTAATTTAACTCAATATTTTTTTATCGAATTTAATATCGGTACGAACGATACATTTTTCACATATGTTACCAAAATGGAGCCTCTAGGAAGGCGCAAATGCTTGAAGACCCATACGCACACACACATACCCGCCGTATGACATGTCTTGATGTATGTGTGTGCGAGAACATTTATTTTGCCGAATCGCACATGTAGTGCACATACATAAATATGCATCGAAGGAAAACTGCAAAATCCATAAACAAGCCGCCGCCAATACAAGCGGCAGCAAAGAAAACCAATTTCGATGGCGACAATGACATACAATTCGAGCTGGAACTCTGTTGGTGTGTGCAGCAACTGCAAACAGCACTCGACAGCGGCAAACTGAGCCAGAAAGTTGGTAAGCCTGCTGAATGTTCAAGTTATAAATGAAAACAAATTGTTAAATGCAACAATACAGCTGAAGATACGGCCAAGAATCTGAAGACTTTGACGAGCCAAACGGCACCACTCATCAAAAAGCGACAAGTCATGAAAATGGCCCTCGGTGATTACCGTTTGAAAATGCAACAGGAGGAGAAAAAAATGCTGCTAGGTAAGAGAGCAATAAGAGAGAGACCAGGCACTTAAGCTTAATTTTAAACGTATTTATTAAATTGTTACGTATATGAATTGTAATGAAGGTAATTCCACGTAACTTATTTAATTTATACATTAGGCAGATATAGAAGGAGCACGATGAGTAGAGGAATCCATAATATGAAGCAAGTGTTAATATATTGAGGAGTTTTATTAGTTGTTGTATGGAAGCATGTATCTATGGATTGTATATTGCTAAATAATATTATAGTAAACTGAATTTGAAACTAAGTCAGGCTCTTATAATTAACAAAAAGTTAGTAAAAAGCTTATTTTATATACCTGTATGGCTGGAAATAATAAAAATTTAAGACAAGGCACAAAGATTAAGGATCAAGTTGAAAGAAGCTTTTAGAATTAGTAAATAGTAGATTAATCTAGTATTTGAAAAGTAATATTGTTAAAATATGTTTAAAAAATACAGACATAACAATAATTAGTCAACTAACTATTAAACTTAATTGTCTGTTTGTCTACAAGGGAAATTTATGCTTTATGTTGTGTGTATCTATCTCTCTTCAATGCATGCATATCTCTGATTCATTTCACTTACAACGTCTTTTTCTCCTTAGCATCCAAACAAATCAAATTTACAGCTGCTACCGAGACGAATACGAAATCGAGCTTTGTAAAGAAGTCAGCGCTGTTGACGTCCGGCAAGGACTTTCGCTTCAATTTTGCGCTTCCAAATAACAATGAGAACGAGGCAGATGCCAGCCAGCCTCTGACAACAGTGCCCCAAACAGCTACAGCTGCCACAAAGACAAGCAGCTGCAGCAACTTGCAGCTGACAAACAATGAGGCGCCCTTCAAATTCAACTTTGCCATTGACGATGCGCCGGAGGATATCAATTTCGAGGGTCTAATGCTAAATAGCTAAGATTTATATCTTATCAAATAAAATATAGTTAATAAACAAATTCATGTTCTTCTTCCACTTAAAGAGCAATGTTTTTATTTTCGATTCGTTGGATTGAAATGTTCATGACCCAACGAATACATAAATACTTTTTATTATTTCTGTTTTTTGTTTTCGTTTTATATTATTTTTTGTTGTTTGCTAATGCAACAAAAGCAGCGTAAATGTACAATAGCAAAAAATGTTTACTGCACCGTTTACTGTCTGCAAAATTAATGTTTGTTTTAAAATTAAACCAAGTCAATTGACATCTTAATAGTGTTGGAATTATAATAAGTTGATGGTGTTTGTCGCGCCGCCTGTTTGTTGTTGATAAACTTCAATCGTGTCGCCCTCCTCCATTTCCAGGGACGTGGGCGTATCATTTTCATTGATCGGCTGCCCATCGAAGCGAAACCGTACCACTTGCATCGAAAGACCCTACAAAGTAGAGCGAGAGAGGGAGCGTATTATGTTAAGTTCTGGCTTGACCTGGTATTTGATGCATCTACTTACTGCTCGGTCACAATATGCATTCATCAGCTTACGCAGCGGCGTGTGTTTCTTGATTTTGAACTGTACGACAGCGTTGTCCTGACCAAGGACCTTCAAGTTAATGTGCTCAGTTTCAGTCTACGCGGCAAAAAAATATATTTATACATTTGTTTGTCATTTATTAACGTATATTTGTATAGTATATTTAATAGTATATAACAAAAAATTGACGGCTTTATGAAAAAAAGTTATTTTGCCATGCTTAAATTAAGAAACATGTTCCCTTTTTCCTGGTGTTTGTGCGCGCGTTTATGTGTATGTGTGTGCGTGTGTATATATGCATATACAGTACACACCGGCTTTTTTCGCGCTAGCCACAATGTATTCGCGCACAACATTGTGCGCGTCGTTTGCCATTTGAAAACAATAGAATTTTGTAACATATTTACCTTTTTTTCCTCAGACATCTTAAAAAAATTATTTAGATTTTCGACAATGTATTAAAACGTTGTAGATATTATTCTAGAGTGGCAAATACAACTGAGCGTAGTCAGCGAAGTAAGTTTGACACAACAACAAAAATAGAGATGACCGATAACAACTATCGAGTTGAAAAGTTCACATTCGAATCAGTTGCATCGAACTAGTTTCCTGAGCTGAGCTGTGCTGATATTTTTATTGTTAAAGTACATGCAATGAGTGTTGCGCTGTTCACTTTGAAGCTTGATTTATTGATGAACCGAACTAGTTTTGAACAATTATGTTACATCCTTTTACTACACCTTTCTCACTTTAAACAAATATTTCAATGACAAAATAAAAGTTATTATTATTATTTTTTTTGAATAATACGATAATCTTTATTCTATTAAAGGTAATATGAAAAATACTCAATATGGAAGTTATTACTTTTCTATACATAATACATGCATATATGTATGTATATAAATCTATATTCCTTTATATAGAGATATATGTATACATATATGTATATGTATATGTTACATTTACAATATTAACTTAATTTTTTTATATACACAATTTTAGATTTGCTTTCTCTTGCTGTTGGTTTTGTTTTAATTGATTGAATATTTTATTTACTAATTTTTGTGTACATACACATTCATACATATATACATCTATAGCACTTTGAATTCAATATATGTATGCATGTGTGTATGTATGTATGTATGTATGTTTATTTGTTGTTTCTCTTTATTGTATTCACTGATATGCATTTATTTAATTATTAATTGTTGCACACAAACATATATATATATATATATATATATATATATATATATATATATATATATATATATATATATATATATATGTCTGAGTAAAAAACATACACTTATAATTAAATATATATGTATGTGTGTATAGCATTATTTTCACATTTTTTCTAAGTGTTTGTTTTTTATGCTTAGCTTGGCAAATTCAAAACTCAACTGGAACTGGAACAGGAAGCTGGAAGGGGATGGGACATTTTTATTTTGACTATCGCATAGATCACACATGCACACATATATGATTGCTTGTACTTATGTTAATATGTATGCATGAAATGGCAGAGCATTGTTTGTTTTGTTTGTTTACACACACACTCACACAGACATTCATTGAAAAGGATATCTAAAAATTCAGTTTAATATACGTACACATACATACATGCACATACACACATATGTTTAATTATAGTTGTATGGACATTTAGATGTTTTGAAAAAGCTTAGCAATTTAATTGAAGTTACCTAAAAAAATAATATATATATATATATATATTTTTTTTTTATGTAAAAAATATTTATAATTATGAATGAATTATTTTCTAACTACCTAAATGTTTCATTTACTGATATACATACATACACATGCATGCACATACATACATACATACATACATATATTCACATAGAAACACATTTCGAAGTACAAAATAAAAAAAATATTTTTTTTTTCAATTTTCCTTTTTTTGACATGAAGAATCAGATAAAAATTTGAATTTTCATTCTTTTGTATTTTTTTTTTTTTTAATATAAATTCTGTTAGTTTCGGCTGAATATATGTAAGTACATAACTTATTTGAATACGTATACAGCTGTGTTCATGAAAATAGTACTGCTGCCCAATATGAAACATACACTAAAGAAAAAAGAACATTAAAATATTTCCACAAATGAGTTCTGTTACTTTCGCTCAGAATTCATGTGTTTTTGAGAATTTTAGAGAGATGCATTGAGAATCGCATAATTCAGTAGTCACTACTATTTTTATGAACAACCACATTTGGTTTTCTTTCTCAAGCCCTGAAGAGTCGCACTACTATTTTCATGAACACAGCTGTATCTATCTTATATATTTATGTATATATATATATATATATATATATATTTTTTTTTTTTATGATGTACAATACTTGGTGTTGTATTGCGCGCGCGTGTGTGTGTTGTTCATATCATAAAATATATATATATATATATATATATATATATATATATTTATAGTTAATCTGTGGATAGTTAGTAACACTAACTAAAGTTGAGCAATTCTGTTTTTTTCCATATTTTTCGTTCTATTTATAAGACTTTTTATGAATACTTCACTAGACCATATATGTATTTACATATATAATTATTATAATTTTTTTTGTTAATTATTGTTGTAGTTTTCTTGTTGTTTGTTTGTTTGGTAGGTTTGTTATTCAATTTCAATATTGCTATAATTAATATACTTTCGTTCTGTGGGTCTAACGTACATACATATATACATTTATATATATTTTTTATATATATAGGTCTGTACTAGGTACAGTCGTGGGTTAGAACTTATTAGTGGGGCATACAGAGGCATTTATGTATTTCTCCCTTACATCCGATTTATAGATCTATCTCCAATATATATATATATATATTTATCTACTCTATCACAATTGGAGAGTGCCTAAACTTTTTGTTTTACCTAATTTCAGTTAGCAAAAACCAAAAAAAAAAAGGTTCTTACTTCTTCTTCGCATAGGCCTAGCTTAGTTGTATACACACATCGAGCTATAATATAACTGAATAACGTTATAAACTTTAAGTATTTTGCTATACATTCATCAAATCATGATATATATATATATATGTATATATATTTATATATATATATATATATATATATATATATATATATATATATATATATATATATATATATATATATATATATATATATATATAACTATTCATATGTTTCTCTTTTTTATTGTTTATATATATATATATATATATATATATATATATATACATATATATATATATATATACATATATATATATATATATATAAAAGTACAAAATTGTAAGTATTATTCTAGTTTATCTAAAAGTTGTTTGTTTTTTTTTTCTAGTTTTTTCGTATCATATTGTGAATGCATTTTGGTTTTTGCTTGCTTTGTAGGTACTTTTCGTACTATCATGATCGAAATGAGTTTTCATAGACAAATCATTTGCACTCGCATCATAATAGTTAGTTAGTTAGTTATACAGTTAGTTAGAAGCGTGTTTAAGGTACTTAAATGTTTCTTTAAATTTCCATTTCAGTGGTAAGTTTTAGGTACACACACACACGCACACGCGCGCACACACATACATACCATCTGTGTCTGTGTGGGTGTGTGTGTGTAGGTACAATGAATTTTTAGGATTTTCAACTAAATAAATTATAATAAAAAATATATATATTTATAGAATAATTTAACATTTTGCCATTTAGAAGGAATTTGTTGACCGTAGTTTCTTATTTATATATATATATATATATACATATGCATATATATTTAATATGATTTATCTTAATTTCGAATTCGGTTAGCGTATTTAAATTAGAGTTTATCGTATATACATAACATATGTTAGGTTAGATTACATAGCTACACGCACACACACATACACTACACACACACACCCACACATACACACGCACACATATACATCTATATATATGTGCATGTTTCATATATTTTAATTTATATAAATAAAAATGCTTTTTTTTGTTTTTCATTTTTCAGTTTGTGTTTTTTTTGGTTTCATTTTTTCTTTTTTGGAAATTAAAGTAAACATTTATATAGCACAAGGTATATTACGTAAGCCCGTATAAAAAGTGTAAAATTGTTTTTTTACTTTACGTTGTTTGTTGTTGTTTGTTTGTTGTTGTTTTTTTTATAAAAATTACAAATGTTCATATAAAAATAGATATACATACATATAAAAAAAATAAAGTCAAATAGTATTACACACACACACGCACGCACTCACACATACATACATATATATAGAGCAGACTGCGACATACCCTAGAGAAAGGCAAAGCCAAGAAGAGCTGGTAAAAGATAATGTGAGAATGACAGAAACGAAAAGAAACATTGAGAACTTGGCAGTCAGACCAGCTATAAGAACTTGCAACTTAATATCAGTTAAGCATATGACTATATATCCCTCGATATATATATATATATATATGGAGAGTGAGAGAGTTGGGCTGCTTAGCTAGACTTCACAGGGTATGTCCACATCGATCATATGTCATTTTGTGTTACATTTCATATGTTGTAATTTAACAACTTTTTGCTTCACTTGATACAAAAAACAGAACTTATGGCTAATTAAAAAACTTAATGTCAGAGGATTTATCTAACTTATTTTTGATTTTTTTCATGATTTCTTCTTTCTTTCATTCATTTATATAGAATATATATATATATATATATAACAATTGGAAAACAATTAGTTTAGAAATTCTAAAAAGGATCTCGTTTCTAGTTGTTAATTTACTTTAATGTCGTGCTTTAAATCTTAGATATATATATATATATATATACCTAAATCGTACTATATATATACACATAGTACATATGTGGATAACAAAATAAATATGTCTACATACACACACATACTCATATATATATATATATATATATATATATATGCACATCGAATCAAGTACAGAGCAGAGCTTTCCATATATATATATATATATACACGATCTATTTATTTTGTATATTTTCTGCTTATTTGTTGCTTGAGAGTTGCTTTGTCTGTTTGTTGTTGTTTAGTAATACATGCTTGAGTTTGGTATAGAGTTTACAAAAGGGATACAGTGACATTGGCTCTGGCTATACAAACACACACATGTATATATATGCATACGCATACATACATACATACATACATACATACATACATACATACATACATACATACATACATACATACATACATGTACATGTGTCGTCTCTCTATCTTTGTTTGTTTGTTTGTCTGTCTGTCTGTGTCTCTCTATCTCCCTCTTTTTCCCTCTCTTTCCCTCTCTTTCCCTCTCTCTCCCTCTCTTTCCCTCTCCCTCTCTCTCCCTCTCTTTCCCTCTTTCTCTCTCTTTCTCTCTCTGTCTGTCTCTCTCTCTCTCTCTGTATCTCTGTGTGTCTCTCTCTCATGTCATTCGCTTCGCTTCCCTTGTTACCTCCCATCCAGCACATACTCTCTTCCGACCTGCTTTATATACATATATATATATATATATGCATATATATATATATATATATATATATATAACATATACATATACATATATATATATATACATATATGCATATATATATATATATATACATATATATATACATACATACATACATACATACATACATACATACATACATATATATATATATATATATATCTTCCTCTAGATTAATTTTTGTTGGGCCAGACCCATTTAACATTATCTCTAGTTAAAGTTAAGATGACTTTGGCCGCTTGCTTTTGCTTTTGCTTTTGCTTTTGCTTTTGCTGTTGTTTTTGCTGCTGCTTTTGCTGTTGGCTTTGCTGTTGGCTTTGCTGTTGGCTTTGCTGTTGGCTTTGCTGTTGTTTTTGCTGCTGCCTTTGCTGTTGTTTTTGCTGCTGCTGTTGCTGTTGCTATTGCTATTGCTATTGCTATTGCTGTTGCTGTTGCTGTTGCTGTTGCTGTTGCTATTGCTGTTGCTATTGCTGTTGCTTTTGCTGCTGCCTTTGCTGCTGCTGTTGCTGTTGCTATTGCTATTGCTATTGCTGTTGATGTTGCTTTTGCTTTTGCTGTTGCTGTTGCTGTTGCTGTTGCTGTCGCTTTTGCTTTTGCTGTTGCTGTTGCTGTTGCTTTTGCTTTTGCTTTTGCTGTTGCTTTTGCTTTTGCTGTTGCTTTTGCTTTTGCTGTTGCTGTTGCTTTTGCTTTTGCTGTTGCTTTTGCTGTTGCTTTTGCTTTTGCTTTTGCTTTTGCTGTTGCTTTTGCTTTTGCTGTTGCTTTTGCTGCTGCTTTGAACATTTGTCGCCTTCGTCTTTTTGTTGGTTTCTATTGCATTTCCGGTTAGCGCTCCTTTGTCGTCCCTTGTGAATTGCTGTCGTAGCGATTTCAGCTGGTTCTAGTTGGCCACCAGTAGCTGCTGGTAGGTGGAGCCGCTGCCATAGAACGAGCTCAGTCCATCAATCAGTTTGCTATTGTTGCTATTGCTGGCAGAAGATGTATTGCCGTCCGGCTGATTGCTGCCGCCATTTGTGGCCGCTGCCGTTAGGCTGGCAGTCGAGACGACAGCTTGAGCGCTGCTGGACACATTCAGGCTCGCTGCAATGCCAGCTGTGGGCGTGGCTATTGGGCTATTATCCGTGGACGATTCACCAGTAGCAAGGCCGACAGCTGAATTGGTCGCGTCCTCGATGCCAACGGCACTGCAATCCGTGTCCAAGCCAAAGCAGCTCTCGCTGCTGTTTGCATGCTCCAAATGCTGTTGCTGCTGATGATGTTGCTGCTGTTGCTGCTGTTGCTGTTGCTGTTGCTGTTGCTGCTGTTGCTGTTGCTGCTGTTGCTGTTGCTGCTGCTTTTGCTGTTGCTGTTGCTGCTGCTGCTGCTGCTGTTGATTGATCAAAGTGGCACCTGTGGCATTGGCATTCACATTGACATGACCATTGGTAAAGTAACATGGTTCCAGGTAAGTACTGAAGCTATTGCTGCTGGCCGCTGCTGCTGCTGCACCGTTGGCGGCGGCCGCTGCTGCTGCTGCTGCTGCTGCTGCTGCTGCTGCTGTTCCACCGGCTCCAAACAGTCCAAGGTTGCCCGCATCCGCAGTAAAATGGGGCTCGAATAGACCACGCTGTCCATTGTATTGCGGATACAGGCCCATTGTAATATTTGGATAATAAAATGGATCGGCTGCAGCTGTCGATGCTACGTTGCTGTTATTACTCGGATTGCCGCCCAGCGCCAGAGGATTGGGCGACAGTGAACGTGCCGGCGAGACCGCATCCAGGCCGCCGAATGCCGACGTCGACGACCCGCCAACGCTGTGTCCATGATGCAGCTGCTGCTGCATCGCGCGCTGCTTGATATAGTTGGAGAATTCAGTGGGCGACATGCGATACGAGCTGCTGTATGAGATGATATTGATGAATGAAACAGTTTATAGATATAAGGCTTGCTCTTGCTCTCACACTCTCTCACGTGCTTTCTCTCTCTCTCTCTTTCTTTCTCACCTGTTGGTACGCTTGGAGCTAGTCTTCAGTTTGGTGCTGCCGAATTTCGTCTGGGCAAAGGTCGCCGTGGTGAATGTGAGCGGTGCCTGGGCAGCGCGCTGCACGAAGGCAGTCGCAGCGGCGGTGGCTGTGGCGCTGGCTGTGGCATTGCTGCTGCCACCGCTCGAGCCACCGCCATTGGGATTCGGACTGCCCTTGTAGGTTGGCGACCCACTGGAGGCGGCCGACTGTGGCGACGAACCCGACGACGGCAATGGCAATGGCAGCGGCAGCGGCAATGGCAACGGCAATGGCAATGGCAACGGCAATGCCTTGGGACTTAAGCTCAGATTGTTCATGGTCGTATTGACCACATCGATGGGACGAAAGCATTGCGCCTCCGGATTGAACGTTTTGGTAACCTCACGATCCGCCGAATGGCTCTCCTCCGGATTATCATTGTTCTCCGTATAGAGTATCTATGGAGAAGGATACATATTAGCCATGCGGACGGAGAGAGTGTCGCCTGCTGCTTGCTCGCTCACCTTAACAGCGCCCTTTTCGCCAATGCGATAGGACACCTCGCCCGGATCCACCCAGACGGACAGCTCGTTGGGCAAGTTCTCCAGTATATCGCTTATGGGCACGCCACTCTCGCGAGCAGCGCGCGCCAGCACCGAGTCAATGGGATCGCCAGTTTTGAGACAACGATACGCCGAGCCCTGCAACAGACAATTGATTAGATATCGACATGGATTCGGGCAGCTGGACGCACCTTGAAGGGCTTCTCCGGGTACCAGTGGCCTTGAAACTTGTCGCGCAGCGCCTTCTCCAGCTCCTCACCAAATATGTTCACACGACGTCGGGGCAGTTTATTATACAGATACGAAATGACAAAGTTCAGAGCCACTTGTATTTCAATATGCATTTTGATGGCAGCCCCCGAGCTCCGCAAGCTGTGTTACACGATCTACGCTTGATCTACTATATATATATATGCATTTATAAATATATATATATATATATATACATATATATATATGTATATATATATATATATATATGTATATATTTATAAACTATATATATGTATATAGTTATATATTATATATATGGATATATATATATATATCTATCTCGCTTTCTCTCTCTCTCTCTCTGTGTGTGTCTGTATCTGTATCTGTATCTGTCTGTCTCTCTCTCTGCCTCTGTTTCTCTTTTTCTCTTTTTCTCTTTCTTTCTCTCTCTGCTCTCTGCGCTCTCCACTCTTGCAGTCAAAAATCACGAATTACGAAAGTTGCAAAAAAAAGGTTTTTTTCTAGAACGTTTTGGCTTTGTACGAGGCAGGCAGTCAAATTAATTTATTTATTTTTGTTGTTTATGAAGCGTTTCACTTGTTAACAATTTGGAATATATTTTATTTGGTTTCTTTTATTTTATTTTGTTTTCTTTAGTTTTTGTCTGGTCGAAAAACTTTTTAGCAATTGTTAATAATTTTTTTTCTATTTGCTTTTCTTTATGTTTTGTTTTGGTTTCTGTTTTTGTTATTGTTTTTGTTTTTTCCAATTTTTCTCGTTTTTTGTGCCGTGTGTGTGTCTGTGTGTGAGTGTGCATATGTGTGTCTGTGCGTGTGTATTTTATTTTTTTTTTTGTGTTTTTTGTCGTTTTCCGTATGTCTAATGTATGTTTTTTTGTTGTTGTGTATTGCACGCTGTATTGAATATATTTATCAAACTGTTTCTCTGTGTCAAATGAGAATTGTGTGCTTTATTTTCGGTTTGCTAAGTGTGCCCCATTCAGTTGACTTTTCGGGCATTGGCAACTAGACGCGTCTCCTCAGCATATATACTATATACATATATGTATATGGATGCACAGATGTGTGTGGCTGCTTGATACCTTAACGATACATCTCTCTTTCTCTCTCTCTCTCTCTCTCTCTGTCTCTATGTGTGTATGTATGTATGTTTATATGTTTATATATATATATCTACATATGTATTGCTTCTATTGCTCTTGGCAGTCTATTGGCTTTGACTATGTTCGATCTCGATTATAAGATTATATTTTATGTACCTGTAAAAAATGGATAAGAAAATACATTAACTTTTAGTTCGATCAAAAATATATATAAACTATATAATATTAAAAAATAAACATTTTGTGATATTTAAAAACTAGTTTTTCCAATAATCATATAATATTATATATTATTCGGTTTGTTTGTTTTTATGTAACTTGAGCTTAACTTGATCAGATGAAAATCGAATAGAGAGGCGAACATTTTTAAACCGAGTAACGGTAAAAATTTGTCAAGAGAGAAAAAAAGAGGGAAAGAGCGAGAGATAGAGATAGAGATAAAGATAAAGAGAAAGAGAAAGAGAAAGAGAGAGAGAGAGAGAGAGAGAGAGAGCAAAAGAGAGAAAGAGAGTGAGAGAGAGATAGAGATAATGCGACAGAGAGAGAGAGTGAGAATGCGACAGAGAGAGAGAGTGAGAATGCGAGAGAGAGGGAGAATGAGAGAGAGAGAGAAAGATAGAGTGAGCGAGAGAAAGAGTGAGTTAGTAAGAAAGAGAGAGAAAGAAGAAGAGACTAACTCTAAGATGTAGACAAGGAAAGAGACAAAAGTTAAAAAAGTGAAAGTCAGAGAGAGAGAGAGACAAAAAGCGGTACAAAAGCAGACGAAATGAAGAGACACACACAGAGAGAGAGATAGGGAGATGGAAAGATAGAGAGTTAGAGAGTTAGAGATACAAAGTGAAATACAAAGAGAGAGAGAAAGCAAAGCGAAGAGTAGCAGAGAAACAGAGAGAGTAAGTTGCGAAAGAAGGCGCAAAAGTGACACGGCAAGAAAAACAGAGAGCGAGACAAAGAGTCAAGCAATACGATATTACATTAAAAGCAACACAAAGGGAGATACATATAGAAAGAGAGAGAAATATTATAAGTCAATGTCTGAGCGAACGGCGCTACTGAAGTCTTTCTTTTTCACTAATAAATAATAATGAAATGAAATAAATAATAATTCTAAGTCAAAGGGATTTTAAAGCTTCATGGGCCATGAGCAATGCAGAAAAGAAAACCAGAAAATTTGCGTTTTCATTCTAAAAAAGATTTACATCAAAGCACTCGATTCATTTGATGTGTATTTCAGGTAAACCCTTCATTAATTGAACACTCGTAAGCTCGTCGACATGGTTAAAATAAAGTATACTTAAGCAGAAGCACACAAAAAACACAAAAAAACCAAGAAACAAGAAACACAAAAAACACATTAAAATACAAAAGACTAGAAAAAAATTGAAAAATCTAGCGAAAGGAAGATAAAAAATTTCAGGAAGTTTGCGAATCGGACACAATGCTAGCTAAAAGGACTCGCGATGCAGATGATAAAATTATGCGCAAGAAAAATTCACGACTGCGTTTCAAGAAATTGGTGCTAGCTATACTGTTGAATAAACAATGGTTGGATGATAGCGAGGAACAGGGCATCGTGATGAATGCAAAGAAGAATGTTGCTCTTCTCATCAGGCAGAAGCGCAAAACGGGACTGTTAACAGTGGCGGTAAGTATATACGATTTGCGATATACGATATTACTTACGATATTCGGAATACAATATTCGAAATATGATATTCGATTTGCAATATTCGATTTACGATATTCGATTTACGATATTCGATTTACGATATTCGATTTACGATATTCGGAATATAATATTCGAAATATGATATTCGATTTGCAATATTCGATTTACGATATTCTATTTATGATATTCGATTTACGATATTCGAAATACGATATTCGATTTACGATAGTTAATTTATTATAAGCAACTTATGTTCTCCTAACTAATTACCAATTTCTTATTTACTTTTTAATTTGGAATAGGAGAAAACCTTGCTACGAACTCCCCATACGTTACGCACTATAGAGGAGCGCAAGAAGCTCTGCCTAGTTGTAGCTGCTCTGCCATGCTTCGCCAATTTGCCGCCAGTAAGTGTTTGGCTAATAACATGCCTGTTTAACAGTTAACAATATATATTGGATCTACAGAAACTGCGAGTGCGATTAATACCGTATTTAAAGTTTGCCACTTATGGAGAAGATCGTGTGCTAATAAGACAGAATGATGTACCGATTACGGTTTACTTCATGATATCTGGTGAGATTGAAATGAAGAAAGTTGTCTACGACAAGGTGAGCCCAGCTTATCTCTTTCTGTTCATCTCTTTTCATTTATATTATATCCTCTCCATCCATACACACGTATTTCTCTCTCTCTATTCTTTTCCCTCTCTCTCTCTCTCCCTCTATACTCTCGCTCTTCTCTCTATCTGGAAAGAGGGAGAAATAAATAACATTTAAACTAAGCTCTAGGTCATGCCACAATTATCTTATTAGCATTATCTTACGCTAATTTTCATTTACTAGACAACAAAGAAAATGGTAATGGTCTCCGAGGCAATCGTGGGTGGAGGCGATGTCATAGGCGACGTGGCCATGCTCGAGAGCTGCCTGCGGTTGAACACTTATGTAACGCTAAGTAAGTGTTAAGAGTCTGAAATGTCAACAAATGCGAAATCTCTAAACTAAATGACATCCAAATTCGTAGACCCCTGTGAGGTCTTGTACATAACCGATGATGAGTTCAAAGATGTTTTGGGTAAATTCATGCGAAAACAATGGCAACAGAAGAAAGCTGCATTAAGTTCGGTAGAACATTTTAATTTTTTCACTGAAGCACAGGTCAATCATATTAGATTTATATGAATATAACTATATATTATATATACATATATCTGTTTCAGATTGTCCGAGCATGCGCCTATTGCCAGCTGGAACAATACGATCCATTGCATTCGATTTACTCAGAGGATAGGGGCGCCGTCAGCTGCGTTCACTTCATACTGAGCGGCGAGTGTGTTGTCTTACAGTGCCTCAAAATGTTTGTAAGTATGCGACACATGTGCATCTTGATCATATGATATTATTGGCTTTATCATATGGTTAGCAAGTAATCAAGCCGGATGGCACAAAAACGTATGAATTGGTCACTGTCAAGGAGTCCGAGAATGATATATTTGCGAATCCAACCAGGTCGGTTAAATCTTTAAGTAGCTCGTTCCATGATGTTGGGCAAACGAGGGACAAGCTGTTGTCCGGATCGAAATTCAATCTCAGTGAGCTATTGGCATCTTCATCGGACATGGACGACGAGACAGTGGAGCAAAAAAAAGCGGTATATACATAGATCAAGGTCTAGCTATGCGAAATTCATAGATTCATCAAACTATTTGCATATGTTTAGAAGCGCATAACGGGTCTGCGAGAAATTGAAATTGCCTGCGGATTTGGTCTTAGCAATGAACCTGTTGTCGGACGTGATCGAAAGAAATCGCATGCCTTAAGTAAGCGACTAACAACAAGTAAATCGAAGCGTTCCCTACTAGTTCAATCTGAGAAAGTGACCAGCGAGGAGCACATCAGTACGTTCTCGTCTACCACCGATGAGTCTTATCTGGATGAAGAATTCGAGCTATTCGAAACCCAAACGGATTCCCTCGAGCATAGATCATCGTCGAAACTTTCCGAATCAAGTTCTCCGGCGGAATCCATGGATAGAAACAGTGATAAATCGAGCAGAGTTGTAACTGTTTACAATACAGATTATGTGGATACATCTGGTGATGAAGCAGCGGAAAGCTTGAGCGCGCAGTCGTCGGTCTATTGTGCAAATTATGAAAAAGAGAAGGGGCCCTTGATAAATAAGGTTAGTTATTTCGGGCGCACTGAAGGTGTAGAGGCAGCAGAGGGCGTGCTATAGGTATTCTTGATCAGGCTGAGTCGTTCTAGCCAGGGTATCTTCTAGTCGGTCACGCACGACCAGATTTTTTCTACTTGTCTTATTTATATATATATATATATACATATCTTTTCGATAGCCCTCAGAGACGCATTTCATAGACGTCGGCTCCTTGACCTATGGCGGTATCTTTGGTCTGGGCGAAAAAATTACTCATCGTGTTATAATGGCCCGCACCGTGGTACAGTGTCTGCTATTGCCTCGCTATTGGCTAATGGCTGAGGCGCAGAATCCGGGTCATATCTGGCTGCGACGCAAATTCTCGCTGGAAACGAATATACCGTCACGCGAGGAGCTATTCAGTCACTTTTTGAAAACACGCCGCTGGGAGAAATTCAAGCGGGATTATGTACAGAGCACATTGAATGAAAATAGCGTCAATAGTACACAGCCAGAAGATATACCCATTCTTTGTCGCATTGTTGAGACCCGAGATAATATTTAAGCAAATCGATACTTTGGCCATCCAAATTATTTGTCTGCCCAAACAACAGCAAACAGAAACGACAGTATTTATCAGATATCAAAATTAGTGCAGTTAGGTCTATCATTTACCATGTGTAACCCAGTCCGATGCAATAAATTATTAAATTCCTGACCTGACGTTTATAAAATCCATGACAAGGCGGTAAATCGGTAAATCTATAAGAATTCTGTATCAATCATTAGGCTAATTAAGTATTTGTTATCTCTCACGCTAATTGCGAATCCCCGGATTCTTCTATTCAATGAATATTTTAAAAGCTCATAAAAACGGCCTCTATTTGCACTTATGTATATATACATATATACACACACACAGAGGTAGTTAGCGACGTCATTCAGTTGCAGACAAGTGCCCGACACGATGCACCTAAATGTCAGCCGTGAATATAGGTTAACCATGGCCATCCAAAGAGAGCAGCTAAAAACTAGTCCAGGTGAGAGCGAAAGCCGAACTGCATGTTCGTAATTGGAGCAAAGACGAGAACGAACGAAAGAGCAAAGAATAAATAGCGAAATGCTTGTCTGGTGTTGTTTTCTTTTTTTTGGCTCTGCCTGCAGTTCATAATTGGAGCAAAGACGAATACGAACGAAAGAGCAAGAGCAAAATCTGCTGTTCTTGTTGCTCAAATTGCTGGTGCGTATGCGCAATGACATTTAAAACGGTACGCACACAGCCACAGCTATGCATGGCTATATGTATATGTATACGGATGCATGTACAGCTTAATCGCGCTTTTGCAGCTGTGTTAAATGCATTGCTGTGTATATAGAGAATTATAGCTATACATATGCATGTATTTGTATATATGTGCAAGTCTGCGCTCTAGACGCGTACTGGCTGAAGGCCGTGCGTCTCAAAGCTCAGCGCTATGGGAAACTTAGCTTAATAATAGCCACGCTCACAGACATGCACACGGCCAAATACCAAGCAAGCACAAGCAAAGTAAACACCGATGTGCGTATACCCTCTGATACCAAACGAAGTACAAAATTATTTAAATCAGTAAATTCAATTTATGTGGTCAAGTCTCAGTTTAAAGAATTTTTTGTTAATATTTCGCTATGCAAATATATTAATATATATAATTAATTGAAGTATACATAATGAATTGAAGTTTAAATAGATTATATTTAACAACAATTTTTAAATAAATTTGGCAAATTACGAGTATTTATATATGAGTTACTAATGAAGTGGTGCTTCAGAAAATATTATTAAATATGGAAGACATACGTTTTACGATATACGATTAAAAATGTCAAAGTCCTAATATATTTATTTTAGAATATTTATTCATATGAGCATATACTGTAAAATATGATTTAAGCCATTTGTTTTTTTTATAGTCTCTGATTTAGCTGTATGTGATTGATAGACGTATTAAGGACAAGAAAGCATATGCAAAAGTACCCCTAAGAAAGCTTAATTCCAGCTCAACATTTAGCCATAGTAGAAATAGAGTATTGCATACATACATATGTATAAGTATAGAGCTATGCATGTATATATATGAATGTGTATGCATGCTTGTGTGTGTGAACTTGAAAAAGCTCAATTTTCACTTTTATGAGCATGTAGGCACATGTCGCTACATAAGATGCAGACAAGTCTCATTGACGTAGTGCAATATAGAGAGTTGCCAGATGGTCGTAATTAATAAAGCCCCTCTGGGTAGGCAACATCCGGATGTTGACAGTTCATTATTGTTTATTTATAGACGAAGATACATACACACTCCCCCACATAATGTATGAGAAGGTGGGTAGGTCGGTCTATATATATATTTGTGTGTGCCTGTGTATGTACTCATGCATGTGTGCAGAGTTGGGTCAAAGTGGCATCGCCATACCTTTTAAATCAACCTTTAAAACTGGTGGCCCAGATTTTATTGATTTTTATTGTGTGGCAAAGAGCAGCCGACGACCACGACGACAGCGACGGCGGCGTTGACGCCGCTGAAAGAGTGCTACAGCGAGAGCAAGAGCAAGAACAAGAGCAATGGCTGAGAGTCGAGCGAGAGAGGCGCAGATGTTGTTGTGTTTACTTTCACATGGCATTTTATGTTGGCTGGAAGCGTGTTCATCATCATCAAAATCAACATCGTCATTGGAGGGAGGGTTGGTGGGTTGGTTTGTTGATGATGATTATCTGCTTGGTTGCTGTGTGCAACAAATTGTCAAAATGCTTTTGAATGTCCAAATATACTTCAAGCGAAATTTATTTATAGAACCAACGGACATACAACACACTTCAAAGCTATGCATGTAACCATATACGGTGAAAGCTCTGCTGAGCGCACACACAAGCCACCACACACCACATATGTACATATGCACATTGAAACATACATACAAACATACATTTGTGTCCTATCTGTCTAATAAGGAAAACATTAACCACAGCAAGTTACAAATTAAAATTTCCAATGAACCGTATTCCAGATACGAAAGCAAAAAGAGACAGATTTAAGATAAAATGTAATATCCGTGTAACGCAACTTGTTCGTCAAGTGAGCTTTCACTGTGACTGTTTGCATAAAGCAAACCTTCCCCTTTGGTCATATGATGGGGATTTTTTTAATCATTTCTGAGCAAAAGGTTCCCCATGACCAAAATCAAAATTTCAAGCAGCTTATCTTTTCAATTAAATTGTTGCTTTTTTATCACACTTATTAAGTATCCGGGTTCCATAAAAACATGGTTTATGAAAATGCAGTATAAATTGGTATTAATAATTAACAAATTAAAATCTTTCAGAACAGAAACGTTATAAATTTAGTTGAAAATAATTTTTTTTTAAATTTCAAAATTTCCTTTTAAGCTTCAATTTATTGAGACCCTTGAAAGGGAAATTTCATTTAAATATAATTCCCTTACAATGTCCCTTACTTCTGTGCTATTTTTATGCCGTTATAGTATTATACCCTGTAAGAATTAAAAATGTGCAGGGAAGGGCATATTCATTAGGTAGACAGGCCGCATAATCACGACAACTCTGATATTGTATATTTGTATATATTATATACTCTTGATGAATTGATTAATTGGAAGTTTAATGTTTATAAAATATATATTGCTGAGATGTACTAGAAGCTAAAACTGTTCACCTTGACTACAATTTGAGCCGTATATAGGGTATTGGCTAGCGGAGCCTTCACGTCTACAGTACTTTTGTTTGCGTAATTTTTTTTTGTTTGTGGTCTAGAAACTTTTGCAGCAATACCGTTATGTGGCATATAGCATATTGTGGCGTAGGGCACGACAAAGTGTTTACAAATGGGTTGGCTTTGAAATTGCGTGATATTATGACATTGTCGTGCAGTCAATTAAAAGTGTTAGAGTATTTGTTGTCATTGTCATTATTATTATTGTTGTTGTTATTGATGTTGCTGTTGATTTCTGGTTTCTCCAATTAGATAGCTTTAAGTTAATTAACTCTTAAGCCGTCGATTATGAATACGCCGTGATAATGGGAAGGTAAGGCAATGCATATGCCACACTCCTATCGCTAGACGTCTACGGATCTATCTGAGTGGCCTTCAAATAGCTTGTTTGTCGATAATTAGAGCGTACGTAAAACCATATTGGTATATGCATACATACATACTTACACATGCAGACCGTACAGACTAATATGCTTGTATGTATGCATGCATGTCTGTATATAAAGGGGGAGGACGTTTTTTTGTTTTGTTGGGGATTTTTTTGCTATTGCTGTTTTGTTATTCTTGTTTGTTTCTTTATGCTGCCAATAATATGTGTAATCCAGTTCACATGTCAGTGTCAGAAACGTTTGTTGTTGTTGTTACATCACGCTGTTCATGCATGTATTTGTATGTGTGTGTGTTTGCATAGTTGTTGTTGCAGTTTTCAACAAATGCTCGAATTCCCTTACTTTAACTGTGCTTCTGCAGCTGACACAAAACTCTCAACAGAGAGCAATTGACGATTACATAAATACAAATTAATGGCAAACTTGATGTACCTTTGTACACTAATACCTACATACATATATGTACACATGTATATTTATATTTACTTATGTGTGAGTGCATTTGTGCAGCTGATTTTTTGTTCATTTTGCTTGCCAATAAATGTCGCTGTTTTTGTTGTTCAATCTTTTCGTTGTTTATCTTGAGCGTTGCACTTTCGCATTTACATCATTACATAGGTTTTATGTGAGTTTTAAATGTATATATATGTGTGTGTTGCTTTTCACTTACACAAAAGAAAAAGAAACAGTTAAGCGCAAGCCTTTTTTCTATTCATTGCATAATTCCTTTTAGGTTATTCGCTGTTTAGCACATCTTTAAAAATTGAGTGGACGCAAAGCACACACACATACAAGTACACTCACACACATACAAACACACACACACACGCGCGCGCTCATAAGCACCTGATTGTGTACTTAATATTACAAAATCGAAAATACACTAAATTATTTTTCACTAGATATGATGGGAAATATTTTTCACTGACTTGTCCCAACATTGAGCAGCGTTTGCCTCTCATTTGCCCCCAAGAACATGTACCACACTAATATGAATGCAAAGGAACGCACACCCAAAGAGAGGCACAAGTAGAGACAGCAACACTCATGCTGCTCTGCTTCCGCTTACGCATACCCACAAACGGCTGTCGCTTATTTACGTTTTGCTGTATTCGCTGTAAAGCTATCTACCCCGCTTCTCTCTCCTGCATCTAGCAGGAGTAACGGCAACATCGTCATCATCAGCAGGCAAGCAAAAATTTTGCTGAAGACAATTTGGCATAACAACACAAAACAGCTGACAGCGTTTGCATGTGTTTACATCTGCGTGCGTGCGTATAATATTGGTGTATGTGTCTGCGTGTGTGTGTGTGCGCGCGTTTTGTATGTGCTTTTGAGCATGTTTTGTCCAGAGCCTTACCACTGTGCCAAAGTATATTTCTATCAATTTGCCACAATTAAAAATGTTTTGCTCGTACAATTTTGTTGTTATCAGAGCTCGTTGTTGTCAATAACAAAATGCACGCACGTTATTGGCAAATATCGTAGTGGAAAACAGCTGATGTTACTCAACGTTAATACAATGGGCAACTATTCGTTGCTGCTAATTTTGTCTGCTTTTGTGTGCTTACAATAAACATGTATATGCATGCATGTGCTATGATATACAAATATATAAATATATATATGTGTAGGTACTAATGTACCTATTATAAGTGACAGCAAAACTAAAGCACATGATTTTTTTATCTCTACACACATGAAAATTGAAACGACAAATACGTAAATATGAACAAATGTAGATATGTATATCTGTACGTTTGTATCACATCTAACATTTGTAGATATCTATGCACAAGTCGCCCACGACTCTATGTATGTAGACTGTATATACATACATACGTATATGTCAAATGACGTTTGTACGTACGTACACATGCACACACACATTCTCACAAATGCTTAAATGTTTATCCATATACATACATACCTAGCTAAAGAATTTTTCAACACTAAAACGGATTTTTAGTTGATCGAAATCGTATTGAATACATAATAAGAGGAGTATTTAGTATTTAGATTTCTGGTGCAAAAACATGTGTATGATATACATTTGCATACGTATGTATGTGTGTACCTATTTACGTATAGCTCACCGAGTCTCGTAGCAGCTAACAGCTGAGTGCAGACTATGACGACAAATTGCTGCCAGAAACGAGAGCAGGCCATAAGTGAGCGGGAGAGCAAGAGAGGACGCACTTGTTTTATTCACTTGATTTTCAATATGTACGTATGTATTAATGTATGTGTGTGACGACGTCCAAAATGCTGCTGCGCACGGGAAGCAAATACGTAAAAAAACTTAGAGGCAACAACAGTACTTGGCTGATGGAACGTGTCCGCATTCATTCTGGCGACGGGGTTTCGGGTTGACATGATGCGATTGAGAGTTGTGGGGGAGGGGGCGGCGACAGCCTCAACAGCTGGCCGAAGCACGAACACGAGCTCCAGTGGCCTACTGAGCGATAACGAAAACGAAATGGAGTCAAATCGGCAACTGATTCTGCTACAGCGGCAGGGCCAAGGAGAGAGACAGGGACGGTGACAGGGACAGGGACAGGGACATTCGGACTCGAAATTTGTGTACTCTATGTATCTGAATGCGTTTTGTTGTCGTTTTCTAGTTATCACACAGTGTCTATATACTGCATATGTATATGTATGTCTGTATGTATGTATGTATTTATATACATGTATCTTCACATTTACACACATACTATGTGCATTTGTAATGCAAATTACAGTTACTTAAGAAAAAAATATATAAAAAAACATATGAGAGAAGAACAGTAAAACTAACATTTACATTTAGCTTTAGATATCACAACACAATTTGATGTATTTATTTGAGCATATACCAAACGTATTTATTATGTTGAATGATGGTTGTTGGTGTTGCTGTTGCTGTTGTGGTCGTCGTTGTTTATTACGATGAGCGAGAGTCGTCGAGTTGTGTAATACGGCTGAGTTATTACATTTGCTTTGATATTGTTCTGTGTATTTAAGCTGAATTATGTATTTTTATATTAAGCTTTTTTTGTTAGTGTTGTATTTTTATTGTATTTTTTTAAACGCTCTGTCCCGTTACTTAATTGCAGCGCGCGCCACCAACGCCGTGTAGAACGTCCGTAGGTCTTGAAATCGTTGTAGTAACTGAAATGAAACTGAATTGACGCGCGAACGCGAAACTCAGTCAGCCAGCAACAAACAAATACGCGCTTATACACCCACACTCATACCACGCACACACACACCATCACAAACACTGACACAATTGCATTTCTAACGAAGTGCAGACGATGTTCGTGTCTAAACGAACTAGCCACACGAACGTTTGCAGTGCTCTAAGCTGTTCTCGTGCCCTCTATCTCTCTCTCTCCCCCTCTCTCTCTCACTCATTTACGCAGTGCTCTCTCTCACTTATTGTGCTTTTGCCTGACAGCTACGATGGCTAAATTTGTTTTATCATAATATTGTGTGCTTTTGTAGTTCACGCACACACACACACGTACAGGGAAGGCTGCATGCATAACTCTGTGTATATGTATATGTTGAAAGCTTAGGGACGTAGTAAAAAAAAAGAAAGCGTAGGACAACCCCAACACAACGAAGGTTTTGTACCCAGGGAACTTTCTCACCGAAACGAAAGTGCATACATAACACACACATGTATATAACAACTGACATACTAAAATGTCCTGAAAAGGGCAAACGCTTATGCTATATATACATTTGTATGTGTGACACATAGTCCTGCCCCTCTATGCCTGCATGAATAGATTTTCACATTTTACATAATAAAATTGAAATTTAACTTAATTTTGTGTGCTTTGGATAGGTTTATTTATTTATCATTGTCAGAGAGGTACATACATACACTAATACACATATATGTAGATCCAGTTAGACATAGACATATATATATATAGATTATATATATATTTATTTATAAGGAATTACATGCATACAAAAATATTTATATGAATCGGCTTTCAAGGAATATCTAATATGGTACAATAATTTAATATTATAGCCTAAGACAAAAAAAAGTTAAAAAAAAAAACATACACAATTATCATAGTAGTAGTGTGTAGGTGTATATATCACAAATATGTATATTTTATTTTTAGCGAAAAAAAAGTGTTTGCTGATTGATAAAGGAAGAGCCCAATTACATTCAATGTGGAATTCAATTAGGTTTACCTTAGAATCGAACTATATCATTTTATTTTATTATGTTTTTGTTTTCTTTCGTCTCGCTTGTATTATAGGTAAGGTCCTTACATCAAATAGCATATTTATGGTTTGTCAGGATAAGAGACAAATACATACATACATATACATATATATAGTTAAGCACGTACATTTGATTGTGGGTCGAGATGCACATATATATTCTATATAACTTCGTAATAGTACCAACAAATAGACAAGAATCCAATTACTTAACTTTATAGTTTTGGGATTAATATGCGAACAATCAGAACAGCCAGTCGAATAATACCCAACAGACGAGGGCAGTCTGAAAACTTGACGAACAAACTAATTGAAGCTGATAGAAATTTGCATCTACTGAAGGGCCGACAACTTTTCAGACTACTCTCGTATATATCTACCCTTAGCCCCCATCGCTCCCTTTTCGACGCTTAGCGTTCAGCGTCGCGTCTCGCTGGACCGAATCTGCTCCCGACTGCCACCGCGCTCGATATACCAATTGTGGTTGTGCTTCTGTTCATTCCGCTGGCGTGATTGCTCACGATGTTGCATCATGCGCTCGTGCCACTCGCCGCTGCCGCTATCATCGTTATCGCCATGACGCTGCTTCCTGCCGTGCTGCTGCTCCTTGGACTTGTCCAAATACTTCCTATTGTATCGCTCCTTCGAGTCGTGCTTGTGCTCCTGACGCTTCTGATTGTATTTGGTCTTGTAGCGCTCCTTGGAGGCATCCATATTTGGATAGCGATTGCCGTTGTCTATTGGCGGCGCTCGCAACTTTTCGCCATGCGCATGGAAAGCTTTGGATGGTTCGCTGGCACCGACAGTGGGTTTGCCTGTGGGTGTGTCTGTCTCAGTGGGCGGTGCGTCTTTGCCAGCGAGTGTGCCTAGCCGCTCGGTGACCTTTTCAAAGTTCTGAAAAGCTGGAGATTGCTGCAGCACATCGTTGACCACATTACCAATCTCATCGACTAGAGATTCGGCATGCGGTTTCATTTCCATGCACATGGCGGCGATTTCCACATAGTTGCCATTTGGACATTTGTACGGACGCTTCAAGTCCGCCTTGGTAATATCCACTGGATCCCCAGAGTTGCCATTGCCGGGCCAGGCCTTAAATGTTTTTAACTTGCGCGCCTGGCCCTGGCCCTGGCCCTGTCCCTGACCAGCCATGGAGTTGAGATACAGCAGCTGTTTGGACATAATATCAATCTCGGCGCGCATCAGATTATTTTGCAGCTCGAGCTCAACCATACGCTGATTCAGATCGGCAATGGGCTTACCGCCGCCAAGCACCTGCCACTCGGGATTACGCAAACGGCCAATAAATGCCAAAATGGCCAAAGTGGCGCCAACATAGAAGACAGCGGTCAAGCCATTCTGCACCAACGGGGGCAGACGATAGCCCAGCACAGATGAGGCAGCTGATGCTGCCGCAGACGGTGCTGCGTCATCCAGTTGCAGGCCAGCGGCACGTCTTCGCTCGCGTATCTCTTGGCCGGTATTGAGCTCAGGCAAATTGCCCAGAAGTGGCAGCTCGTGGCCCGCATCGAACTTAAAGCTAAGCTCATTGAGATGCTCGCGCAGAAAGGGATGTGGTGAAATGCGTCCAGTGCTTTCGCAGTCACTGATTATCGAAATGCCATCGGAGACGTCCTCGGCCTGGGTATCTGCATCTTCGACGAGCTTGCATCTAAAAAGGATTAAGCGTATTAACATATTTGCCATCCCACTCTCCGGCCTTGCACCTACTCTGCATTGGTTTGCTCGTCCTCCTCTGCCTCTGGCCCTGCCTCCTCTGTCCGTTGCTCAGCTGCGCTTGTCTCCTCGCTGGCGCTGCTCGAATCAAGTATTTCGACTCTATCTGGTGGTAAAATAGTCCATGACGATGATGTACTAATGGGTAGCGCCTCCTCCTTGGCTTTGGTTATGCTGCTGTTGCTGCTGCTCTTGATCTGCTCGTCCATGGTGCTGCTGCTGCTGCTGCTACTGTGTCCTCGTCGTCGTCGTCGTTGTCGTCTGGGCTGTTGGCCTCTTTGTCTGAAAAATGCATACAAGAATTCTTTATTTTCGTATTGACCTTCGCAGCGCTCTAGAATTATAGCTAGCCAATGGGCCAATGGCGTCAATAGCCATGGCCTGTGCTCAACAGCGTTGTCAAATCTGCCGTTTTATAGCTACATATGACCGTATTTTAAAGTGATTACTTAAAAGTAGCTATTTTTAGAGTTTTTTAGTTTATTAATTTATTAAACAAATATTTGTATATAATTTATTATTGTTAAGACAATATTGATTAAGTAAATTATTATTGTTAAGACAAATATAAGTAAATTTGGCTTTTTTTTAGCGTGAATACTTGAATATTTTTTTTTAAATATTTTTACACAGTTTTGTAGACAATTTTAGCCATTTTAAGTGTTCATGGTAATGGACTTTTATATTAGCTTCCTTTAGCTATATTCATATATGTATATATATATATATATATATATATATATATATATATATATATATATATATATATATATTCATTATTTATGCATATATATTTTTTGTTGCCAGTTTTGAGTTAAATATTCTGTTTTAGAAATAAATGCTTTTTAGCTAAATCCGGCTTTTTTATTTTTAATTTTTTTGTTTTTCTTTTTTAAATATTTTTTTTTTTTAAATATCTTTGTTGTATTTAAGAATAGTAGTTACCTAACTAATGCCCTTTTTTAAACTATTTTAAATAGACATTTATGATTCTTCTTTTATATATAGCCTTTTTTTTCAAAAAATTAAATCCTAATTTGGTACATCAGTTTTATTGCCTATAAATCTTTTCGTTTTGTCTTTAAAAAACTAACTGCACTGTTGCTAAAGCTAACGCATACATATATGTATCTATGTTTGCATGTGTGTATATGTGTATATATGCATGTAGTGCAGGTACTTGCAGGCCAAAGTATGTATATGTCTATGCTTGTATGTATTTACCGCTGTTTTGTCCGGGCCTCGGACTATATACATTTCTATGTATGCATGCACATACGTATGTTTGTGTGTCTAACAGTACCTGGGAATATATTTTTTGTACTTTTGCGTGAAAGGTCTCGAATGTATTTGTCAGTTGAAGTTGAAATTTTAGCAATTCGCTTTGCTGTTTTTAACAACAAATTATAACAGCACGGTCTGTGCATATGTGTGTGTGTGTTGTTATTACGCAAATTTCTGCATTTGTTGTGTAAATGCACGCACTCTCACACCCACACACATGTATACATAGATAACTAAGTTTGTTTTGAACCTATACTCACCAGTTTCGTTTAAAAACAATGCATATATGTATACACACAGCGTATGTGGGTGTATGTGTGAACGGGTTCACATTTATAATTTACGTGTATTTGTGTCTGTTGTCTTAAAATTCAGATTTATCAAGCTCTCGCCTGATAAGTGATAGACCTTGAATCTTTTGGCAATTGTTATTAACCCACAAGTGTAGATAATAACTGTCTGCAATTGGCCGCAGCTATGAACGAACGTCGCAATTTCACCTAACGCTTCAACCTTTGTGTTTGGACTACACGCACATAGATACAATACAATACAAGCAGATGTTGTCTGAGCTGTGCGGCGATATATCGATATTTTCTTTTTTGCTCGATAATGTCTTTTAGGTATTTTTTAAGCTATTTTCTGCGCTTCAGCAAGTACGGGCACACATTAGTTTGTGATGGCGGCACAATATTTAAAAGTTACCCAAATATTTTCGGTTGAGTTATACGATAAGCAGAGTAAATAGAGTCGAAGTATTTGCGAAAAACTTATAAGAGTAAATAGAGTCGAAGTATTTGCGAAAAACTTACCCTACAACGACTTATCTAATATACGTCGTATCTCGCCCGCCTCGGAACTGCAATCCCAATTGGACGAATTCCTGGCCAACTGTTGCCTGTTAACCTGATTTCTCGTTGCCGGCACAACCGTCGCATATGGCTGGCCATTCGCCATGACATAGCTCTGTGGCATGTGCAATCTGGGCGCTGGCACTGGATACATGCGTGGACTCTTCTGCAGCGTCAACTGATTCATTTGATTTGCCTGCTGCAAGCGCTGATGCTGCGGCGTCCAATATATTTGGCTTGTCTGCTGCCCGGAACGATCTAGTATTAGGGGCGTGGCACGGCCATTCTGCAGCTGTTGTTGTTGCTGCAGCTGCAGCTGCTGCTGTTGCTGCTGCTGCTGCTGCTGTTGTTGGGCCATTGCCAGCTCCTCGATGCGCACATAGCCCTGGGGACTGGCGCGTATATACTGTGGCTGCATATACAAGCCGCTATTGTGATAGTCAATCAGCTTGGCCGCCTGCAGGCCTTCCTCTGTCTGGATGAGCACGTATTCCGTGGGCGTCAGAGTGAGCAGCGATTGGCGCTGATTCAGCAGCTGCTGATTGGACACATACTGCTCGGAGTCGTTGGACAGGAGGCTGTTGCGCTTGTTCACGTGCGCATAGATGGGCGAGGCACCGTTCATAGCCGTTGAGTTGGTGGCATAGCTGGACCGTGGCAGGCTCTGGACACGCAACGGCACCTGCGGCCGGGCCACACTCAGCTGCGAGGCGGGTCGCTTATGCGTCTCCACCGAGGCGTACGACACGGGCGAGATGTCCGCACAACTATTCTGATTCTGGTTGTTGTGACGCTCATAGATGGGCTGCATTTTGGCAGCGGGCAACGGTGTGCGATTGATGGACTTGCGACAGAACTCCTTCACCTTCTCGAGGATCTCGTCGCGCGTCAACAGACCGCCAATGCGTCGCACAGCGCTCGGCTCCTTGCGTCGCAGCACAACTGGCGTCTCGTTCTCGCTCTCGTAGCCGCGTCGCGTGGCCTGGTTGTTGGGCGTGATCAGCTCATCCAGCACGCTCTGGCAGCGCGCCGGCAACTGCTGACCGGCCGGCTGAGCAGCAACGGGCTGCAGCATCTGACGATTGCGTCCGCTGACGCCGGCATAGGTGTTGCGCTGCACTGAGCCACGCACAAAGCCAGGCGTTGTCAGTTGCTGCGATTGCAGGTGCTCATAGATGTTCTCCTCGCTCTGACGCTGTCGCTGTTGCTGCTGCTGCTGCAGCAGCAGTTGCTGCTGTTGCTGCTGCTGCTGCTGCTGCTGTTGTATGACCTTGTTGTAGAGCTGTCTATCGGTCACCTCTTTGATCGCTCTCAATTGCTCCCATTCATTGTGATTGCTGTTCTGGGACTCGAGCGTTTTGCGCACTGGCGTCGATGTGGCCATGGGATGGCTGTGGCCGTTGCTGTGGCGCTCCTCGTTGGACTGGCAGGAGGCGACGGATCGTCGCTGGCCCACGCTCTCCAGCCGGCTCATGTTGCGCTGGCTGTGCAGCTTGATTTGATTGCGATCCATGGAGGCGGAACGAGTGAAGCGATTCAAATTGCTCTCCGGCGGGGAGACGCGTCTGGGTATGAGACTCTGACGTTCCGTGCTGCGCTGGAATGGCGTCGGCTCCAGTCTCGTCTCCAGCGTTGGCTTTGACCTGGGCTGCGGCTGCGGCGGTGGCTGCTGCTTTACCTGCTGCCTCAACTGGCCATTTGGCTGGCTCTCGAGCAGGATGCGCCGCATCTCTGTTGGGGTATTCAGCTTCTTGTGCTCCTCGCTGTCGCCGTAGACGCTGCGCGGCACGGGCAGTGCGCCCTTGGGCGTGGTCTTGCGGCGCGTGGCAAAGAGACTGTTGGAGAGACGCTGCAAGACGGATAACTTTTTGGTATTGCTCTTGCGCAAGGCTGCCAAGGATTCGGCCACCTGTTGGCGTCGCTCCTCAGCCGTTGCACGCGTTGGCGTCGGCGTCGGCGTCGTCGTCGGCGTCGATTTGGGCGTTGGGCTGTTTATCTCCCGCTTGGGCATCAGCGCCAAGCCCTTGCGCTCCAGATAGGCCTGGAACTCCTCGGAGCTGATGGTGTTGGTGAAGGTGCCAGGGGCCGGGGCATTGCCATTTGTTGTCATCTTCGCTGTGTCCTCCTCGGCACTCGGCTGATTCAGCTCGTCGCTGGACTCGCTTTTGGTCAATGGACCATCGATCTCGTCCAGATCGTCGTCGGAGCTAATTTGCAGTTTCTTCACGCGCTCGTCGAATTTCTTGGCGTTCTTGGTCACTTCGTCGGGATTGAAGTAAGCGCCGGTCGTGTCGGTGCCCGTGCGTATTTTCAAGTTGGCCAATTCGGGGTAGTTTGGCTTGGAGCACTTCTTAAAGGTTGCCGTCTTCGGCTTGCCGTTAGCCTCTTGTTGTCTCGCCAGCTTCGTCGCTGGCGCTTTCGTCTCCCTTTGGCGATTTGCCGCCTGCTGTCCGCTCGTCCAGGCCTGTTTACGTTTCGGTACTTTGCCCGCTATGTCGCGCAGCTCCTCGAACTTCAGGCGCGCCAGCACCGTGGGATCGTAGACGAAATATGCATCCGGATTCTTGATGTATGTCTTGACGTACTTCGATTGCTTAAGTACCTCCTCGGTGGTTATGTAGTCATCGGCGACAAGTTGCGCCTTCTTGCGATTGTTGGCCTCGTTCTTGAGCTGTTCGCGTTCCTTGTCCTTGAGGGACTTCTCCTCCAGGTCGCGCTCCTTTAGCTTTTCGCGCTCCTTCTCCTTTTCGCGCTCGCGTTCTCGCAACTGTTGCGTCACCGTCTTCCGTACACTCAATGTGGATCGCTTGGTGGGCACCGGCGGCGGCGTCTTCTTCCTATCTATGTGACCATTCTTGAACGGATTCTGCTGGTCAACAATCGGCTCGCCCGTGGTGAACTTGCGAATCTTCTCATCGTTCGGATTGAATGTGACGCACTTTTTCACCTTCTCCTGCGCGCTCTTCTCCAACTTGTCGCTGGGCTCCACTATTTTCAGTGGCTCCTCTTCGCCTATATAATCGCTGAATACCTTGGACTTATCGGCCAATAGAATGGCATCGTCTAGGGACTCAATGGTATCGCTCAATGTTCCATTTGCCTGGGCCTTGCGCTCGCTGGCAACTGTGTCAGACATCTTATGCTGTATGGCTCGTCTAGGGGGGACAGGGCTGGGGAGTACGAGGGGACTTGGAGTGGAAGATAGTTGGAAATCACTGTTGTATATCCGCCCACCATTGAGATTGTTGCCAATACACTGCACGCAAGAAATTCTACAAAACAAAAACATTTTCAGAGTATTAAATGAGATGCATATATATGGAGCGTGGGAGAGTTTACTATATCATATCGTTGCATACTTGCAATTTGTATTCCTTAGGCTGTGTCAATCGCTAAGCGTTTCCATAACGCCTCAGGCTATACGCAGCTGCTCTATCTGTAAGCAAAGATCAGGGAAAGTGGGCTTTAGTGCAACGAAATCTATTCAGAAATCGATAACTTTAGTAATCTCAACTCTAAATAAGCTTTAGCAGTGATGATACCAGCTAGCAAAGCTGTAGATAGTATAGTCATTAAAATTATTTATAATTTATAGTCTATATTGTTACATCCATTGTGAACGAAGTGCATACAGCTATGTAGAGTATTTATATCTTATATCTATATATATTCTATCTTTATATCTTATATCTTTATATCTTATATCTATATATCTTATATCTTTATATCTTATATATTTATATATCTTTACCATATACCAAAATTATAGATTCACTCAAATTCCATATGCCTAAAAGAAAGTTTAGAAACAAAAGACCAAAATCGATATTTATCGATTTTAGCTCAAGCTTTATCTCTGCTCTACTATGCTATTCTATATATATACTTTAAATATATACTATATATTTGTATATTCTATTTATCTACATATATTCCATCCGCTTTATAAGCTAAGCTCTCTTTCAGCTCTTATTTAAGCATTTGTCTAGCATCACTTGAAGATTTCCTTTAGATCATTGTTTTTCGTAACATCTGCGTTCGGGTGTTTGACATGTGTTAGTCAAGCAATGCTTTGTAGTCAGGTAAACTGCGAAAGTAGAACAATATCATGGGAAAATTGCGAAAAATCGTTTGACCCTAAAGAAATTCCACTGAAAATGGGAATTCCGCTTTTAAGTGGGTTTGTTAACAGTCTTAAGTATATAAATAATATGTATATATGTATATAGATGTAAATATGTATATATGTATATATATGTACATATGTTTATGTGTATATATATGTATATGTAGTCTTTAGCAGCCTAAACGACTGTTCGTGTTCATCGACTTAGCTCGACTTATCCGATGCTCTGTTCCGTCTGTAGGAACGCAACGATCTCAACAGCTATGCAAGCTTGATACATTATATATATATATAGACATATTTATATATATATATGTACCTTTCTATGTACCTTTCACACTTTCTTTTTAGCATTTACTGGAAATCAAGTAAAATAATTATAAAACTTTTGAGTACAGTCCCAGCTATGGGGCTACAGCTAAATAAGTTGAGTATAGAGCATATAAATATGGACAGCAATATACAGTAAATATATGTGTATATACATACATATATATATATATGCATAAATATATACAGATATGTAAATAGAGCCAGCCTCTGCGCCCCAAAGGGCACTTTATGCCTAGGCAGGGTATATGCTAGTTGTGCACTTCTCTTTCTCGACTTCGCTTGTTTTTCAGCTGCCAACTGTGGCAAATTATAGTATTTGCCACAAATTTGTTCAAATCGTTTATTATTGTTCATTAGGGCATGGCCAAAGAATTGTGAAAAATTGCAAAAGTAAAAGCCAAAGCCAAAGCAAAGCAATTTCTAAATAATTATTATTTCTTCCGGCTCATAGACATAAATGAACTCAATATAGTGTATGTAGATATGGCTATAGATATAGCTATAGCTATGTAGCTACTTGTGTGTGTGTGTGCATTTGGGTCACTTGATAGCTAATCTTTTGCTCGTACCTTTTGTGCGGTAATGAAATGCGCATATGGCTAAGCATATGCAGAATTTCGATCTACATACGTATGTAACGGCCACAGCTATAGACACATACATGTGCAAATACGTGTACGAAGCATAAATGGTCTCGTTTACCAATGTAATCAATATTTTTCACCCATTTTGAACGCCGCAGTTGACAATTGTCTAACACGAAGATTGCCCCGTGCCTTGCCTTGGGGTTGATACACACGCGCAGCTGGCGCAGGGGCCAGCGGGTGGTGGGCGTGGCAGGGGTTTGTTCATTGCACTGCATGCAGCTGTTAACCGGCTTGAGGCATTTAAAGGCAAAGCACAACAAAAATTGCCTTGCATCCAATTTGCATGCCAATCTGACCGACTTCTAGTTGATTTTCTCTATTCCCCTCTCAACGCCCCTCCCCCTCGGATAAATATCTAGTGCACCTTGATACGAGTAGCTGCGCATTTAGTGTATGTCTCACAAAATCGCCAGCCGATTGCAAATTGAATGCTTTACTCATATCAGTTTTTCTGCCTTTGTTGCTAATCCATTTCTTTAGAGTGCGAGAAGTGTCTGAAATTATGAGCTTACCTATAAATGGGTGCCATAGACACACACACACAGATGGTATTGAAATCGTATTAATATCTTTGGGCTAATTGAGCTCATGAAAATCGCATAGAAGGGCGGTAATTGCAAAAATGCTGGGCTTGAAGAGAAGTTTTTGAGAAGAGAATTTGGGAAGCAGGGAAAGAAAGAGAGGAAGAGAGACAGAGATATATATAGAGAGAGAACAAGAGAATGAGTGAGAGAAAGAGAGAAATAGAAACAAAAAGCAGGGTACAAAGAGATATGGTGATAGACATAGGAGAGAAAAAGAGAACAGAGAGTGAGGGTGAGAGAGATAGAGAGAGACAAACAATGAAAAGCGAAAGGGAAACATTCTGAAGAAGTATTAAAATATATATGTAGAGAGAGACAGAGAGAAATGCAGAAAGGATTGACACAGTGTGAAAGAGAGAGAGAGAAGGAGATAGAAATAATTTTTGTATTCATTGAGTATCCTTTACTAAAATGGGAACACATAAACTAGACGCTAAGCCTTACATGAGTTTATGAGAATTGCAGAGAAAGACAAATACTTATATACAAAAAAAAAAAAAAAAAAAAAAAAATATATATATATATATAAGTATGCCTCTTGACATTCATAGCATTTTTTAAAGAATTTTTCTTCTTTCTTCTTCCAAATGAGTTTTTCTTAAAATTCAACCATTTCTCTACACACAGACCAAAAACGATAAAAGCAAACTGGGACAGGTGTTCGCCGTAGACATATATGTTTAACCTTCAGTACGACTAACTACATATATGCGTGCTTATATATATATATATGTCTGGAAAAGAAGTCAAAAGAAAACTTAGCGAAATCACATAGAACCAAATGCCACCCTTTGTCAAATATTTGGCTTTAATGGATAAATGTTTCGAGCAGTTGTGTGGGGTCAACATTCACCACCCTTATACATATATGTATATCCACCCCTGCTCGACGTCTATTAACTAACAACCCCGAGAAACTACAGGCCATATATATATATATATATATATATATATATATATATATATATATATAAATAGGCAGGAAAAGTGTTTGCTGGATTAGAAATGCAATTGGAAAATGTTCTTGAAATTTTTGGTTTTTGCTATTTGGATTGGTATGCACATAGTCTCTATATATATGTGGATTATTATGTTTTGTTTTGGGGTTGGAGAGCTTATTAAACATGGATATATTTAGAAATCGAAAGAATTTTGAGTGCAATCGTAAATATAAGTATAAATATATAATTATTTCTTGTTTGCTCACATTAAATATTTAATGGAGGTCGAGCTTTGCCTAATTGCCATTCAGTGAGACTTGCATATACCCTGTAAATTAGTTTCATGGTATACTCAGATTTGTATATCTATATAGAAGTCAATATAGATAACTAAGCTGGCCAACTAACACACAAACGTTGATCGCCTTTCTCTGCAATTCTCATCAACTTTTGTACGGCTTAAAGCTTATTACTGACTTTGGATTTATATAGGAGGTTTCTTACTGGCAACAAACTAACATTGACTAGTCTCAAGCGCTATCTACTCCGCTCTTTCGCACTTTTTCGCTCTCATCGGACTTGCATATACCCTGTAAAAATTGTTAAGTGCTTAAATAAGTAGAAAGAAACTGAAGTAAAACAAAATATGCGCCGCTCTCTGCAATTCTCATACATTTCTGTAGGGCTTTAAGACTTGAATTGTTTTGCTAGCGATATCGATTGATTCTCATTTCCTCTCAGACTCTGTTCCACTCTCTCACACCATCTCTCTCTCTCTCTATCTCTCTCTTGCACATACTATGTAAGCAAATTTTAAGTATTCTTTATCTTTTATTTATTTATATATAAGCAAACATGTGTTGCAAGCAGCTATCGATTCTTTGTGCAGATAAAGAAATCTTTTTTAAGTCTACGTAAAGCAAATCGTTCCTTGAAATACATTTCGAATGTCAGATAATGGGAGCTGGAGCACTTAAAGGCAGAAGCCCTAACTGGACAATATTATGGCCTCTGTTTCAAGTTCGATGCTTGTACTATCAAATGTGGGGAAAACAAATATTTTCATATATATTTAACATTTCATTAGGCAATAATTGCGTATAATGTTTTTTGGTTTCGGCAGACTTCAGTTGCTGCTCAGGCTGAGGCTTTTATCTTTTTAAGCAGACGACAATTGGAAATGATTTATAGAATTAAGACGCGGCGCCATGAAGTCAATGGGCTGCGGCCTAACAAGATTTATGCGACAACTTGCAGATAAGATACACACACACACACACACACTGCCTTAGAGCTGTCTGGATCATGCTTAGATACATATCTTGGCCAGACGTTGGCAGTCAAACTGCAGCACAAAAGTCCTGCCAAAAGAGCAAAGACAGGCAGAGGCAGCTAAGGGAAGTCTAGACAAGCTTTATCGATTCGACTGCAGCTTCTCGCTTGTGTGTTGGTCTAAACATATATATCTAAAGCTAATTGCGTGTTTATCGCAGACTGCAAATGGCCAAACTCCAGCTGTTTGTATTGAGAAACACCTAAATTACATTTTTCTTTTCTTTTCTCTTTGGAGTAGCCCAGATCTTGTGTAGCGCGCGTCCAGCTTATTGCTGCCTGCACTTGGCTCTTCTTCATTTGTACTATAAACGTTCCCCACTCCATGTAAACAAAATAAAACAAAAAACAAAAAAAATAAGAAAGAAACACGCAAGGGAATGTGTAAAGACAACAAAACACGCGCCAAGCCAGCCCAACTGATGACTGACATTGACGATAAATGAACAATCGACCTCAATAAAGGCAAACATATGCCCCCCACAGCCCGTACAGCCGGCCTATGCTGGCCATGCACTAGGTGTAGGCCATACAGTGGGCACAGCCTATATAGTTCGTATAGCCAACACAGCCTATGCAGCGAGGACTCAAGGAGTCAGTGCATCAGAAGAGTTCCTATAGCTCAAACAGTCTGTATAGCCTATATAGTTCGTATAGCCTAGGCTATATAGCTTGAGAGGACTCAAGGAGTCGTATAGCCTAGGCTAAATAGCAAGAGAGCACTCAAGGAGTCCGTGCATCAGTAGAGTCCCTAAGGCTCAAACAGTCTGTATAGTTCGTATAGCCTAGGCTAAATAGCTTGAGAGTCCCTCAAGCTTTTATAGTTGCTATAGGCTAAGCAGTCCTCATATCCCTAGAGTTCCTAGAGCTCAAACAGTCTGTATACTCTGAGAGTCCCTTAAGGTCTTGCTGTCTCTATAGGCTATTGAGTACGTATTGTGCTCGACTTCCTTAAGCTTAAACAGTCTGTATAGCCTTTATAGTTCGTGTAGATACTAAAGCTGTTTCAGCTCGTATACTCTGAGAGTTCCTTCAGCTCACTTAGTCCGTATAGGCTAAGCAGTCCGCATATCCCTAGAGTTCCTAGAGCTCACATAGTCTGTATACTCTGAGAGTGCCTTAAGATCTTACTTTTTACATAGCCCAAGGAACTCTATGGATATACGTACTTATCCGTAGAGTTCCTAGAACTCAAATAGTCCGCATAGTCTATATAGCTCGTATAGTTCGTATAGGCTGCATAGCCTGAGTGGTGAAGCTCAAGGTCTCATAGTCTTATATTCCCTCAAGCACGTAGCCTATATATTTGTTAATCCATAGGCAGCTTACCTTTCTAACAGCTAATACAGCCTCTTCTTAAGATATAAGTTGTATCGTTCGTTTAGCCGATTCCCCTGTAAAGTGCTATATACCTATATGTACAGTCTATGCAGCCTCTGTACTCCCCAATATCAAAAGATACCATCGAGACCTTACAGTTCGTTTGGCCTAGGTAAATGCCTATAGCCTATAGCATCCCTAAAGCAACTACAATTTGCATATATAACTTAATATATGGCTGATACAGTACATATAGCCGATGAAGGCCATAGAGTCCTTATAGCACATACTGCGCCTTCTTAGCCATATAATCAGTTATGCATTTCATACAACCTCAACAGTTAAGTGAGCCTATATACAATATGTGCAGGGCATAAAGCTCTATAGCTATCTATATACTATATCCCATACACCCTATACAGTTGGCCCACATATGCCGTAGAGCTCATTGAGCCCTCGCTATATCGCTGCAGTTGCTGCAAGCCGAGACAGTCGAACAGACATCAATTTGTCGCCACAGTTGAGTTGGCAAAATTTCATATGGCTTGCATAAATATTGCAAAATGTGTGCGGGAAACCTTGTCGGGGCATTGAGCTGGCCATAAAGCCCATATCTAGACATAGAGAGAGCGAGAGCGAGGGCGAAGCAACGCTGCCAATCAATAATTATGTTTTTATGTGATTATTCGCCGTTGTTGTTGTTGCTTTTCGAAAGAGGTAAATCCCGTTTCGGTTAGACGATACATGATATTGCAGCTTTGTATGTGCTCGGCGCCAAAGGCAAAGGCTGATCGGCTGGCGGATACCCTTGGCATATGGAAACTTTCTATGAATTTAATAAAGTTCTAAGAAACTATCGATTATATCGATATCGATAGTCAGCGAATCGCTTTAAGCTTTAAGAACATTAGAAGAGCTAGAACTATAACCTGTTTGGTTCTGATTGCAGATCATTTTTACAGGGTATACTTAGTGATGTATTTACTGTAAACCAAATAAGGCAAATGATTGAGCCATTGTTTATTTCCTAGCTTAATTTATTGACTTCTTTTGCCCACATCACTGAGCTAGCCGCCTTTTTACTCACTTTACAGAGTATAATTAGTGTTGCATCTTTTGTAAGCACAGGTTATACATCAATTATAGAGACAAATGAAACTCGCCCAGATTAACTGTGCTAGCCGACGTTTTTTTTTTTTTGCAGCTAGCCGACGTTTTTTCCATTTTACAGGGTATAATCAGTGCTGCATCTAGTGCAGAGTTAAAGCATAATCTGGCAGCTTAATTGTGTTTGTGATTTCTTTTACACAGCTCAGTGAGCTGTCCGCATTTCATTTTTCATTTACTCATTTTACAGGGTATAATTAGTGAGGTATCTAATAGCAGATCGCAGCAGTCTTCCTCCTCTGTTCCGTCTGCTGCTTCTTTACTGTGTTGTTGCCTTTTAAGAAATTGCTCAAGTGAACTTCAGAGTCAAGCACGAAGCGCATTTAGAAAACTGGTTTTCGTTTCCTCAAAATATTTAAACGTTAGTTACTCTCGACTCGCTGATCCCATAAACTCGGGCTTTACGGCAAGGCCAAGAGTTACTTAGACCTAAATGGAGGCGGGAGGGGGGAAGTAGAAACCAATTTGAAAAAAAAAAAACCTATAAAAAACACTTGTACACAATTCTTTTAGTATTTGCTGTGGCTCTGATTAGAACCGCTGCTCCGCTTGGCTGTGCTGAGCCCTCGTGACTTGTGTTCCAATTGGAATGGCAACGAGCATTCCAATTCGATGTGAAATTCAATTTGAAGTCAGGCAAAAACTTCGTGATTACGTGTGCGCCACGCACAGCGCGTACTTTATCAACTCTCTATATACCAAATATATGTGCATATATGTATCTGTGTGTCTGTGTCTGTATGTGGTACGCACGCACAATAAATTGCGCAACACTTTCAAGTATCTCAGTATCTGTATCTTTGTATCTCCCGGACTGGCCGAATGTATCTTCGACTGTCCAAGTAACTTGGTCTCTCTCAGTTCCCGTCTATTTGCGTGTTTTTTTTTTCCTCTTCTATTTTTTTTTTTGTTTGATCTCCGTTCGCCTAGTACTCAGTGCTACTTAAAGCGCCCAGCCGGCTCAAGTGTTCGGTTTTTTATTTACGAGCATGCCCAAGAAATGCCCAAGATATTTCTGAATTCTACAGTCTAAACATGCAGTGCTGCTGCGATACCCTGTTAAGCATTGCAATAGCCGTATACTGAGCGTAGTTCAAGCAAATCCAAGCAGTCTTTGAGTCAAGGCAATATTCCATATTTTCCATATTTCTTACTGAGTTCTATATACCCTACAAAATATGTAAAGTAAAGACACAAACTATTCTTCAATTTGTGTATTAATAATTCTTTAGTTCTTTATTTCTATCAACAAATTGGTTTACTCAATTTACAGGGTAACTCCGCTCAAGCCAAGCCAAGCCAGTTTTGTTTATCTGTAACAAAGATATAAAATATATTTTTCGGTATATTCTAGTCGTCATGCCTCTGAGACCGTCTTTGATTATATTTCATATATCCAAAATCGTATAAGTACTTATATAAATATGAGAAACTGCATTTAGAGGGTATCTTCTAGTTTTGTCATTGCATTTTATCTTTTTTATTCAATCTAAAATATATTTTTAGACTCAACTTTTTCAGCAACTAGAGACACTGCGTTTACAGGGTATCTTTTAGTCACATCATGTCTTCATTTCACATTTATAATGATATGCATATGTCTATGGCGCTGCTCAATCTGTGCAGTGAGTCGAAAGAATCTTTAATTGCGCACTGTGCAAACGTCATTTATTGACCTTCCTATCCAATACTCTAGGCGACTTACAACTATGCATGTGTACGTATATCTACAATTGCAGCGAATTTAAGTCAATTGCGATTACTTAATTCT